TATCATGTAAGACGTAAAGAGTTTTTCAAAGTTAACTGTTGGTTATTTTTGCCACAAAGCAGCAAAATTCTGTCAGTCTAGTGATAATGATTAGTGCCAACAAACACTATCTGGTATATAATAAAATTAGCCCTTAAGGTGATTTTTAAATTATTTTCCTTAACCTCATAAATAGGCATCTCTTCTTTTCTAAAACATAACTAATGTAAACGTTACCGTGTATATTCAAAATCTCTAAACCTATAATAACATTATTATATTATGTATATTGTATAGGTAATTAAAACTTTCAAGGACAATCAAAAAATTGCTTGCTTAATGCCTCAACCAAATTAAAAATGCTAAAACAAAACTCTCTGTTTGTTTTGAATTGGAGCAAGATTTCTGGTAGAAAAGTTTTCAACAGACATAAAAACAAAACGTAGTGGAACCAATACATTTCTAGATACGCTCAGAATCGAATGTAATAATATAATACTAGTAATAATATAGTACTATTATTTATTGTTCGTCTAATTGAGTTTCTCTAACTCTAGAGAATTTCAAACATACACACTGAAGCAATAGGTATCTAAAGCTACCACAACTTGTCGATTTTGACGTTTTGCAAACAATTACTGAATTACTATATATTCGCTAAAGCCAAACGTCAAAATTAAGCACGTACATGAAGTAGTATAGGATGACTTTGATTTCGCCAACATGGCCTCGAGATCCTAAGAGGTTTCTTTTAGAAATAAAACCTAACACTTTCTGCAAGTAACAACGAGGCCCCATACAAAAACGTTATTATCTAGTCTTTATTAACATGACTGAGCTTTGACTACCTAGGTAGGTAATCAAAATCTCGATAGAAATTGGCTAGCATCACAGAATTTAATTACTGCCAAACCGTTGAGGAGCTGCGATGTTTGTTTTACTCTTAATATACTTAATTTGGGTAAAGGAGTCAGAGTAATAAATAAACCGTTAACTGGCTATATCATACAGTTGTTTATACGTGAAAGAATATGGGATTTAATTCCGCATTTACCTTTATTTTTAAAATCAGAACGTTGGTTTTAGAATGATGTGAATTTTTTGTTTAAGTGTCTATAAACAACTTTTTTACCAGAAATTTTGCTCCAAAGAATAGAGTAAACTTAATTTTCTGAAAAGAAATTTTATCTAGTTGGTGCATTAAACACCTATCTACCATAAGTAAAGCCAATTTATGACTTTTATAGTGCTATAACACGTATAAAAGCCACGTTTCGAGGTATGAGAGAGTGCATGGTATAACTACTGACACTATTAGTTTACTTATCTACTACAGTAACAGCATAGAGTAATACATAGTGCTCGAAAAAAAAGAATAGGGAATATAATATTTCAAAAAGTTAAGATCCTCTAACTAGTGTGGGGTTTCGCCCCTACACTCCTACACAAATTTTTTTAAATAATTTAGTGATTAATCATTTCCAAAAACAACAATAATACTACTACAGACAAGCTTTTTGCTAAAACAGTAAACAGTATTTATATAAAATTCAGCTATGCTAAGTGATTTGTTATTTTCTAATCAGAGATCAGTTGGTTTTACTGTTTTTTTATTCTTTGAACTAATTTTCTACCAGAAATCTTGTTCCAAACTATCAAGTGTAGCACCTTACCTGAAAGAAAATGATCTCTAGTTGGTGCATTGAAGAAATCATTTTTTTGATTTTCCGAAGAATATTCAAAATCATTGAGGAAAACCGATTTCATTGTTATTAATTTTTGCATTTTACATTGTCTACCAGAAATATTGCTCCAATCCAAAAATTTGTGTTGCACTTTTTAATCTAGTTAATCGTGTGTAATTAATTCGTTGTTTGATATTATTACTAGTTATTATAAAAATTGAAAAAAAACCGAGAAATGACGAAAATTGATAAATTTACAGCACTAGCATTCCTTTATTTTAAATTTGTACGGCTTATATTTTTAACAAAAAATATTGCTCTAATAGAAAAAAAACAAAACCTTTTTTGTTAAATTTTCAATCAATCTAATTGGTGACCAAGAAAGTAGTTTTTTAAATAATTAAGCAAAACCGAAAAATTCATAGAAAATACAGATAAATTTATATACGAAAATAATACTTTTATAATTTTCAATTTTATTTTAGATTCTGAGTAAGCAAAGAAACATATGGTTTTACAAATTTTTTTTTTTATCAGTTCGCAATTTTCCTTTCGGAAATCTTTTCTGAACGGACATTTTGTTCGTCTTTTTTGTTGTGATTCAGTTAAAAATATTCGTAAAGATTTAAAATTTAGACAGAAAACTTATATTTGTTTTTCTAGACGTGATAAAATTTCAAACCTTTTAGTCATTTTTGACCTATTTACAGATATTTTAATTTTGAGTTTTTTACATAATTATTATTTGTTAGGATCTGTGGATAAAATTGTTAGACCAAAGAAAAATACTTGAAAATTTAACAGGTGGTTCATTATAAGTCATACTTGGTGGAAAAAAACACATGAATGTAATGTTATATTTTTTTTTTTATAAGAAATTTATTTTATTTTTTTTTGCATGAAATTCACAAACTTTACCTATGGCACAATTAGTAAATTTGATACAGAATAAAACATACAAGTTATTAATACATAACAATAGCTAAAAATCACTTATACATAATACATGAAACGTTTGAAGAAAGCAGCCACCCTCTGGAGACGCTTTCATTTGGTAGTGTAAATAAATGAAAATGTTTGTTGCATGCCTCCTATGGTAGTATAATTTCTATAATCTCATTCGTCACTAAACTATCAATTTGTGTATGTCTAATTTTGTTCTCCTCGATTTATAATTTTTAATTTTGTTTGTTTATAATTTTATATTCCGACAATATTTAAATAAAATATATTTATAAGTAAGAAAATGTTAAAACGAATTTTGTAGTAAAATATTACGAATAAATTGGTTTGGATAAAGTTAGATTTCTACATAAAATGAATAATGTTACTTATGTATGTACATAGTATAATATAAGTAATTTTTAAGTAATTTGTTAACTTAAAATCAATTTGATTTTCGAGGTCATGACAATTATAATGTTTAATAATTCGTATCCAGAGTCGGCATTAGAGTAGGGCAAGCGAGGCTTACGTCCAAAGCCTCGCGCTTATGAACCCACACAAAAGGATAGCATAATTATAATGGGCGTAAAACTGGAAAAATATTTTTTATATAAATGTAACGATGTTTTTGGGAAAAACACGTACACGTACACACGTGTTATTTTATCAAACAGTATTTCCGGCCGTGGCCAAGTGTTGGGTATTATTACAATTATTAGGTGAAAGGAGTGATACGCTAATAAAAAAAATCTTTTAAAAATATAAATTTATCCAGGGCCTCGCGAATCGTAACACCGGCTCTGTTCGTAGCATGGATGTATACAGATATAAATTTGGGAAAATAGAGTGTTGTTATTCATTCGGTTTTTGGTCTTTAATTCTCTCTCTAATGGCCTGATGCATACAAATCGCCGACTGGCCTGTACTTAACACAACCAGTCCGTCCCTGAGCCTCACCATGAATCCACGAATAAAAATCCCTGGGAAAAAAAAAATCCCCAACTACAATATTACACACAATCAACTTTATATCTATTTCTATTATAATTTTCAAACATAAATAATATTTTGTTTATATATATATATCTGGATAATAACCTATCTAATCTGTAATGGGCTCACAAAAACAATATGGACACTCGCTTTATAAATATTAATAATGTTTTTCAGTGATCCACAATATTATCAGGTTTCACTACACATTTAGTACACTGTTGAGAACCCTTGGTTTAAAACATAGTTTGTATTTAGCTAAGTAAGCAATATATTATTTTTTGGTAACGTCTTCCGTCGCCAAGCGCATGAAATGCGAACGACGACGGGAGTCGAGTTAAAACAACGATTCCGTATAGTTATACGTAGAACCTATTAAATGTCTTTTTAAATAAATTTAAATAATAATAAACAATAAGTTATTATTTCAAAACGGATGAGTTCAGTGTTTGATTAATTCCAAAAGTCGAACTCAAATAAACGAGTATCCGCCGTCATTTACGGAAGAAACCAAAATTGACGGTGAACCCGGCATCAACCGGATATAGGATACAACAACACGATAAACTAGTACAGAACGACGCTATGGACATTTTAAAAACTAATAGTGAAAATCCTAAAATTGCGCGCAACGGATTTGTTTATCATTTTCAAAAAATGTGCTCAAACATACGTTGGTTATGTTCTAAATTTAGCTCTTTGAAATGCTCTAGAAAATACTAGTTTAAATATTAAAAAACCAATATTTGTTGATCTTGATCATGAGTATGTACATAGTTCTAACAAAAATGCAATCGCTGCTTTAAAATTAAAAATTAAAATGAACGAAAAAACAAAAATACCCCATGCAACACCTAGTCAAATATTTGCTGAGTCTGTAAGTAATGTACCACATGAAGTTTTAGTTGAATTTCGAAAAGAAGAACACGTTAAACGGACAATTCAAAACAACAGATGTTACAATGATCCTTAAAAACTATCGCGAATAAAAGAATTAGTCATTGAAGGTATAATTTATTTATTTGTTATATGATATTGCTAACATAAAATTGTCTATATTTTAACTACAGTATAATTTACAAATTTTGATGAATTTTGTCAACACTTGAACTTTTTTAATGAAAGAAAAATCATATCTTTAATATTCACATTATTATATACACTATATACGTACGGTTTATACCAAGTACCTACCTACTTTTAACATTAGTTATAAAATAAAAATACACATAGGAACAAACAAGGAAATATCAATCAAATACCTATAAACAACATAAAAATAGCTAAAAATGTTTTGAAAATTTTACTGCGTCTACAAAAGGCTAATATAAATATTATGTGAACACTAATTTTTTTATTATAAATGTAAGTTCTTCAACAAAATATTTCATTTCTTCGACTAATTTAATATTTTGTCTTATCACATGTTATTTCCACCGCTGCCATCTGCACAGTAGGTACTTGCATGGAACAAATTTAAAATCTACTTAGCAATAAATCCAAACAATAGAAAAATAGTTGTATAGGTATAGTGCACAGTGTTATGGGCGCCATTCGAACACAGCCTTTTGATGGGAAGATGTACACGTGTGTTAGGTCTACAAATGGTTTTTTATTAGAATTTAAACAAAACACAGTTTACAAGTTGTATTTATAAGTGAAAAACCTGCGACACCAGTCAAGACTTAGTTTTAATTATCAGGTATAACTACACTAAAGAAATTACTGGACTGGTTGGTGTCGAGGTGACGGTGATCCTCCTTCTCGTGCATCAATGGTGATGTAGCTGTCTCGACTTCTGACAGAGTTCAAGTCCCCTTTTGGTGATGATTCCGGTCTCCTTATGTATGTCTTCTCGATCGGGGCCTAAGTGGTGGTGGACGCTGCCACCGATGTCTACTGGTGGCACGTAGTCCGTACCCGGACATGTTTTCCCTTCAGCCCATGAACATGTATCATCGGTTGTTGCATGGGAACATCGTCGGTTTACCACACCCGTATTAATGGCCCTGACGTGCGTATACTTAATGCGACGACCGATTTCATATCTTGTCGCGCGGAATTCTTAATTTATAATTAACAAATTTTACACGTGAAGGATAGAGTCCGTAATAATAGGTATAAATAGGTATAGTCAATAATCATACAGAAAATGATAAAATAAACATGTAGTGCATATATAATAACAATACAAATTATGATAAAAAAAAAACTGATTATAATGGAATATAACTAGCAATATGGTTACGAAAACCGTAAACGTTTACGGCCAATAGTGTCAACAGTTACCGTACAAAATTACGAAAACCGTTATCGGTTACAATTTTAATGGGAAATGTTCACCAGTTATATATTCCGAATTTCTTAATATAGTATACATCTTAAACTGTGTATAATACACAGAGTAAATGGTATCCTAAAAATCTAAGACTGTGGTATAATCTTAGATAATACACGTATGGTAAGTAAGTATGGTAAGGTTTAATATGCTAACATTATACTATACTTAAGTATGGTATAATCTTAGATACCTAATACCCGGTGGTACCATGGTTAAATAGTTTCATAAATTATTATCCTAATCACTAATCAAAATCAACAGAATACCAAGTTATATGTCAACAAAAAATTGGTTGGAAGCTTAGATCAATTATACTAGTATATGATCTAAGATCGGAAGAAACTATCGTCTAGCAGATTAAAAACTTGATAAATGAAATTTGTTATAAAAGACTTTTCAGAGAATAACAAAATATATATGTTCCTATTCCTTTAAAAAATAATGGAATCAATTAATTCACTCGTTCCTCTAAAAAGGAATTGTTCCTTATACTAGGTGTATATGTGCATTGTGCATATTCTAGTGATGCCAGTCATATCGAAAAAGACTGGAGATTCCAAATTTATGCCAGTCATTACTGGCAATACAATACTAATGCAGTTTACTGACGTGTACACCTAGTTTTATCAACAATGGCAACTGGGCACTATACAATTTTTTTTTACTTTTCTAGATATTCATTTTTCAACAAATTATAGTCATCCCAAAGTCCTTATTTAATATAAATATTGAAATTGAAGACAATTTGTCTAGCATGATATAGGTACCTAGCTACTTATGTTATTTGTTTATTTATGTGTTATAAATGTTTAATAATTTGTTGCCTGATAGAGATAAAAAAAAATTACTATATGAAAGAAAAGATGTAGGTTTGTCATATATTTAAATACAAAACAAAAATGTTTAAAAATATATACCACAACATTTTATTATAGTAAAATATAAGTTTATGTTTAAGTATAAATTTTTAAATTTTAGTTTTTTTAAATAGTTTTTTAAATTCATTTTTGTTGTCTTTAAATCAAATAAAAATAACCTTAAAATAAAATTTAAAAATGCATGGTATAAAATTAGTTTATATGCTATAATTATTATTCAAACATTTATTTTTATAAACACGTTGGTTAAAACAGGTATAGATGTAAAAAAATATTAAAATATTTTTTTATTTTTTTTTATTATTCTTTAACTATCTAAAAACATGTATTACACAGATAATTTAAATTCTTCTATTTTAATATTTATTATTCTAGAATAAAAAACCAAAATGTTGGGTACCTAAATAGTATAAAATTAATTTGAGTGTGTAAAATTCCATTTATTTAATATTCTTTAAGATAAATGAACTTTTCGATTGACGTCTCTAAATAACCTCATGTAAGTGCCTATTTAATTATAGTAAAAAATTTATATTAGATTAATTATATTATTAAATATAGTATTTCTATATACATCCATTTTGGTTTTATAATATATTGTTTGATGACACATTGACAGATAAACAAAGATCAGGAAATGATTGTTAAATATGTGAAGAGGATGTTGGCATGTGTTTTTGAACTTGAAAATATTAAAGAGCACCACTTAATCTAAGGAATTTTTTATTCTTGAATATCTACTTTCACATTCAAGTTAATTGAAAATCAATATATTATCAATCAACAATAAAGACAATTTTTATCTTAAAAAACCCTAAAATCACTTGAAGGGTACTGTTTTCTGTTTAAAGTTAACATGGTTTTGAAGATTACACAGTAAAACATAAACAGTAAAAAATACATTTATATTAAAGTATTTGAAAGTAAATTTGAATATTTTTCAGGTAATAAATTTTAATTTTTCGAAAATGTTTAGCAAAATTATTTAATTTTCTATAAACAACCCCTTAAATATTAAGTATCCTTTTAATGTGTTAATATATTTCAATATAAGTAGGATACAAGTGAGGCATTCTTTAGATATATTTCTAATCACTCGATGTGCATACTTAATTTGTTTAAGTTAAAATAATTGAAAATTATTCTGAGATGAAAAACTAACAGAAATCATTTGCTAGAAGAATGGCAAATGCATATCTTACACCCACTGTTGAAGAAATATTCAATCTTTGGTGTCCTCGCATCTTAAAAAAAAATGTCCCTTTGTTTATCTGTACTACTTATTATTAAATAGTGTATTATATGTTTTTTCACTCAAGTCTATAATTCTTTTTAAAATAGAAGAAAGTTTGTATATGTTTTTAAATAGTAAAAAAATAAGAAATATTATTTTGAAAAACAGTGACAGATAACAGAAAAAGTCCTAATATTTTACAAAACTTAATATTCCTTAACTATACAAGTCTTTAAACAACAATAAATCCTCTCAGTAAAGTTTATTGAAGCAAATAAAAAGGATATAAATATAAAACAAAAAAGTAGGTAACGATCAGACTACACACATTATGTAGACTTGAGTTATATTAAACCTTATGGTTTATAAAGTTAAGTCATTACAATTGCATAACGACCGTATATACTGTATAAATATAAATAATAATAAATAAGGAACTAATATCTCAGGGGTTAAGTATTTGATTCACTCGGTCCTGGGTTACTATCTTGATTGGGTGGTTGTTGAATGAACACAGGCCTCACATTATCAGGATTTACAATTCGAGCATACATTTGAGAACGTCCTATAATGCATTTTTAACTTCAAAAATATGCAAACTAATACAAGTAAAAGAATAACCTGACAAACCTTTAACGCTATGTTGCGATAGTGGTATAACTTTTAAACCTTGAATAGACTTTAACGAATTTGCCGGTACAAGTATTTGCTGAGAGCCTTGTTGCAGTACAGTGTAAGTGTTAGCTGTAGAATTCACTACAGTTGATGATACTATGTTAGGAGATGTTGATATACCAGTATGACCAGATGAAATTTGTGCCTATGAACATTAATTATACTTAACAATACTTTTAGAGAACTCTATATTAACTTACTTTGTTTGTCACTAATAAAGGTTTTCCGGCAATTTGTGACTGAACTACACGTAGAGTTTGTGGTTGGTTGGTTTCACTAGATTTTAAACGATCATTTATAGCCGATAAACGAGAAGGTGTTTGCTATAAAAATAAAGGTATTTATATAAGTTTAAAAGGAATTTACCATAATTACCTGTCCAATATTTAATTGATTTGATGGCATAAGTTTTGGTTGAGCAACAGTAACAACTGTATACTGTGGTTGACCACTCTTTGATGTTTGTACACCAGAAATTCGTAATGATGTTCCTAAATAATAAATACAATTAAAATTATAAATTGACAACAATTCTTAAATCACCAACCTTGAGAAACAACAGGTAATTTTCTATTTGTAAGAACAGTGTCAACTGGTAACTGAGTTCTTTGATTAGTCATGAGCTTGCCAACAATTGGTTTGGTAATTCTTCGTTGTACATTTTGACCAGTTTGTTTTGTTTGTAACAACAAATTAGTAGAATTTGGTGAATTTGGTTGAATTTGCGTACCACGAAGTGATGTCAGTATTGGCTAGAATATAAATAATGCAATACTATAATTTTATAGGTATTAAAAATATATAGTCAAAATTTTTAATAATAATGAACTATAAGCAATCATATATTTTATTTACCGATTCCAATATTGACAAATAAAATACTAAAAATACATTTTTTATTACAATTAATATGTTCACAAATAGTATAAAATAATATTTTATGTAATCTACTTGTTTTATTTTTTTAACTAAAAAATGTGTTATGTTTGTTTAAATATTTTTCAATGTAAGTTACATTGACTAGAATATCAAATCACAACCTTGTTTATGTTATAACTCTAGCTCCTAAATCATACATTGTTAAAAAAAAAAAAAAGAAAAAAAGAAGACAATTAATACTTATTCTTCAGAATCAATTCAGAAAACTTATTTAATTATGTTCAAGATTAATTTATTATAGGTATACAAACCTTGAGTGCAATTGATTTTTGTTCATTTCCCGGTTGTTTAACCATAACAACCTGTGGTTGTTGTCCTATCTGTTGCTGTGGCCTCATCATTAATATTTGTTGCAATTGATGTTGTGTTATTTGTTGTGTCTCTGTTTGAACTCCTCTTGGACCCTGTTTTACAAATATAACTTGAGGATGTTCACTATCACCAGTTTCTATTTTTTCCTCAACATCTGATTTCCTTATAATGACTTGTTGTTTGTTTTGCTGCAAAGTTTGCTGCTGTATTTGTTTACGTTGCAAGAGTTTCAGTTGCATTTCTTGTTGTTTTTGTAACTTATGTCGCTGTTGCAGTTGAAGAAGATGATGAATAGATTGTGGTTCATTATGACTAAGAGCTGTTGTATTTTGTTCAGAACTAGAAATAGAATGATCAGATCGCTTTTGTTGCAACACTAATATTTGCCGTTGTTGTGGTTCTTTGTTACAAGGCGATTTAGTAATAGTATGATGATCTTGTTGGAAATTTAGAGGTCCTAAAATACAAATAAATGATAAAATTGATAATATAAAAAAAATTTTTTAATTAAAAATACAAATACAACATACCAGATGGCTGTCCGATGTTAACTGGTTGAGCAATTTGAACGTTTTTTGTTTTCTTTCTAGCACCAATTGTTATCAAATCTCCAGATGAAAGTACTTGTTTATCATTAAAATTACATACATTTGAGCTAATGCTGTTTACAACCATTTTATTGTTACCAACAAGAGTTTGATTATTGCTATTTTTAGTTTGTGCAATGTTGATCATCTGTCCACTATTGGCAACAGTTTGAGTGTTAACTTTTAGACTTGAACTGGCCATAGATTTATTTATAATGTTATTAGCAAATGATTGTCTAGTAATGTTATTGCTGTTTAATTGACTAGTAAAATTACTAGAAATTGATTGACCAATATTACTAGAAATTAATTGACTGCCAAAACTATTAGATATTGATTGACCAGCAATATTATTAGCAATTTGTTGACTAGTAATGTTACTAGTAATTGATTGACTAGTAATATTACTAACAATTGGTTGACCAGTATTAATGTTACTAGCAATTGACTGATTAATAAAGGTACTAGAAATTGGTTTACTCGTGTTACAGGTGATTGATTGATTTATATTAGCAACTGATTGGCTTCTATTGTTAGTAGTGATTGATTGATTAGTCATGGTACTGGTACTGATAATTGAGCTAATATTAGGTGTAACTGTTGAAATATTGTTGGACACAGGCATGGCAAACATTTTGGAAGCTTCAGTACTATTTTGATCAATAACTGGAGGACATTTTATGTTTAGCTCAACTGCATTATCGGTTGTTTGCATAGCCTGTATTGGCATTTTTTTATTTTTAGAACACCGAGATGGTTTTACAGTTTGTTTTAAACTATCTATACTCGTAATTTCCTGAGTTAAACGCATATTTATATCAGGTAAGACAGGCGAAGTGCTTGAACTTGGCATAGAATCTGATGTCGAACTTGTAGGTAAATCTAGCATTGAAAATGATTCGAGAAGGGCATTGGATTTTAGTTTTTTGTTTGGTGCACGTTTAGGCTCCGGTGATTTTTTGGGAGTTTTGTTTCTACGCCAGCTTTTTATCTTAACTGCACCTTGTTGTTCCAAATGCAACCGTTCTATAACATAGTATAAAAATATTGATAATTAAATTTATAATCATTGAGGATATTCAATGCAAAACATACTTTTCTCAATTTTCAGAAGAGCAGGTTTTCTGTTTTGATTATTTTTAATTGGTGTATATACCATACTTTAAGGTTTTTAAAAAAAAATTACTTTCCAGTTTAAGTCCTTTATTGCTCTTTTTGAGATTGTAAAAAGTTGTTTTATGTAAAATGGTCCTTTTACAGAATAAGTATGTTGTGTTAGCTCAATATATTTAAAAATGGTGGGATTTTTTAAGATTTTCATAGAGAATATTTGCTAGGCCACAATAATTGTATCCAGAAAACCAAATAAAACCTTTAAAAATTTTAAAAAACTGAACAGCTCAAAAATAACCATTAGGTATATTAAGAAAATTGTACCAAGTTTAAATATTAATAAAAGTATTCAATACAAAAATTATCTCTACAGTTATTTTTAACCAAATTGCAAAAAAGTAATAATGAAAACAGAAACCGTTAAGGTGTACATTTTCTCCAATTTTTAAGTTAACTACAAGAAAATCACTTCCTCAAGGCATTAACTAGACAAAATTTGTTACTAAAAATCATAACTAATTTTAATTATTACTGCAAGATATCTGGTGGATAAATTTTTCACTGACAGAATAAGAAAATTGAAAATTAGCATAATTAATAAGATTTTATTTGGATATAGTATTATAGTATTTATAACAGTGTTTTTTAAACTTTTTGAGATTTTAGAACACCAAACAATATTTTTTTTATGCAGAACTCCTAAAATATAAAAAATATAACTTATTTTGTTTACTCATATCAGTTTTAATATTGTTATAATAAATGATTAAACACGTACATGACAACAGACAGTCAAAATTGATAATAACTAAGAATATTATAATATGTGGTTATAACATTATTATTGAAGTCTTAATATTGTCATGCCGTAACTGTTGCCTTTGCTGCCAGTTTTTTTGGGGGACAATCATTATTCGTGGACTACCAGGTTTCCACAAATCAAAGTTTAAGATACACTGATCTATATAGTCCAATATCTTACATTGGTATGAAGTTAGAATCGACTAGTACATTTTAAACAAATTTTAATTTAATGCGTAGAATAAATATAATTCTGGCTCAATTCCAATAACTTTGAAAACTAAAAATTATGATGTTTTTAGATAAAGCTTATTTAGTTGAGAAAAAAAATTCTCTATGAAAATTAACTATAAGTGAAGTTTTTGAAATATCATACATTTTGTTTATGGTTTTTTAAGCATAAATTCTATACCTATATTTAAATACCAAATACTATTATTTTTAAAAGTCAAATTGCTTTGTCTATTTGGCCCCAGATAAAAAGGAAGGGATTAGAGGAAATTAATTGAAAATTAACCCTCGATTAGTTTATTTTGTGTGCACTAAATTACTATGGGTCTAGGCAGCATTACAGAAATGTCAAACCAAATTCTAATCATTTTCAGATAAATCTCGAAAACTAGCACAATGAACTTTATCTAAAGACATCATAATTTGAAGTTATCATATCATAATTTATGAAAATATTTTCTTAATAATATAAAAATAATAATTTAATCAGACATATTAGATGTAAAGGAAAAGAAGGAGCATTTTGTTTTATAATAGAAATAGACTATATAATATAAGAAATAGTCCATTTTGCAATGAATTACTATGTAAGGTACAATTACATTAAAAAGATTTATTTGAAATGAAATGGAAAAATAATATTTTGCATCAAAGAAAAAATCACATTTTGTCTATGAAAAAAATGAAAAAAATGAGTTTTGTATTGAAGACCCTCCTCAATTAGTTATAAATTTATAATAATATATGATAATGATATACGTACCAAATTCTTCTAACGAGCGTCCTCTATGTAGGTAAATCCATATTTTACGTTTTGGATCATACTTAACACATGGATCATATTCATAATGTAATCTATCCAAAGCTCCACTGACTGCATTGTGTAATTCAGTTTGGTTTGCATCCATTAAATATTGTGAATCTTTAAGTAAGGTACAAATATCACTACGAGTTCCCATTCCATTAGGTAATCTAGCTGTTGCATCACGTACTGAAAAAATAAAATTTAAAATAACTATTGATTTTTATATTCTAAATTAAGTACTTTTATATATTTTATAATTAAAAAAATATATATTTACAAAATTTCAAGAGTAGCATCTTTTTTGAAAGAAAATTTTGTCTGATTGGTGAGTAAAAAAGTTGTTAATTATTTACCTGAGCAGTTTTCTTTACGAAAGTTTACTGCATTAACATATTCATTATTTTCAGTTTTATTTTCTTGTTGTAATTAGATTAAAAATAATTATAGAGACCTTTAATTTTCACTTTATATTAGCATTTTCTAAACATGGTAAAATTTTCAAAATATTTTAGACATTTTTGAATTAATTATAATCATGCTGACATTGACATATTCAAGTTATTTTTAGTTATTATTTATCTTATGAGGGTAAAATTATTTGAAAAGATCAAAATTTCTTAAAAATTTACACTATTATACAAAGATTATATAATATAGTATTTGTTTAATATTCAAATTTCAATGGAAACCATAAAAATTGCACCATTTTGTACTATTTAACTAATTATAACATAATGTGAGCTTTATGCCCAATTTACAATAAGTACAATTAATATATACAATATTATGAAAATGATTTATAATAATTACATAATTTTTATTTTGATTTATGTCAATGGATTTTTTTGTCCAAGCCGATTAAAGGCATCAATGGAATGATCAGAGATCTCCTTTTTTTTCAAATTTTACAGGAGAGAATTTTTTTTAATTAAAAAATATACAAACGTGACAATTTTATTTTGAATTTTGGAAATTGTTGTTAATGAGGATACTTACAAGTTAATATGAAATTAAATCTTTTAAAAATTTAAGTTGTATTTTTTTTTTGTTTTTTTGCTGTCTAATTTTTACATGTGTTTTGTTTACATTTTGTATTTTAAGTCATAACTTACATATTTATAAGTATAAACATGAAAAATTGAATGAAAAAACATTTAAGAATTAGTAACAAGAGTAACTATAAATGTTAATAAATCAGAAAAAATTGTACATATATAGTACCTTTTATTAAAAAAAAAAATCATGTAACTTTACATAATATCCTATTATCAAAACATTTTTTGTATGTGATACCGCTGATATAATAATATTATTCAGTATTACCATTATTCGGTGCAAAAACAAAGTAACTTCAGAGCTGTCCTATTTTTCCTCAGAACACAGACAATCAAATAGCTCCTTTTGCATTATAATAACTGCTGTAATAATAATCGGATCTAACTGGTGTTATTACATATAAATAACAACAAATTATTTTTTTTATTAAAATAAGTATATAAAAATATCACTTTTGAAAAAAAAATGGAGCTGTCTAGTTATTCCACTAATGCTTTCATATGTTAAAAAATTTAATACAAGATTCACCATTAGTTATGTTACACCAAGAAAAAAAGTTGAATGTAATTTTTTTTTTATGAACATTTTAATTTCAAAATTTGACAAAATTTTAAAAGTCACAGCATTTCTAAATATGTTTAACCAAACTTCACTCAGAATTATAATTAATCTTAAATGATTTTGTTGGATTCAAATAGAAATTAAGTTTTATGTATCTTAAAATAACTATAAAAATCAGAAATGTACATACAAAGAATGTACAAATCTAAAATCCGGGGTTTAACCACTTATATATAGAGTAAAATTTTTAAATTTCAACTAAATTAGTTATAATAGTTTAAGGCAGTTGATAACAATTATCAATTTCCTTAACCCATAAAGAGCTACTCTATGCTTTTAACTACCAATGACTAAAATTTAGTCAAATTTAAAAAAAAATTCTTTTTAGATTTGTACAGTTCAGATTTTGATATCTGTAAAACTCAGAATTCTAAATTTGTACATTTCGAACTTTTACATTCCTTACCTTCCCAACTTCCTACCTACAACAGTAGCACACCCATCAGTAGTATGAGCTCGTTTATAAATTGAATTATGTATTTTTTTATCTCTTACAGCATAAACAGCATAAGTTATAACTTACCCAATACCAAAATTGATATAAAATGAGGTCTATTTTCAATTAACAAAGAATGACCACGAGCCGCTTTATGTATATTTGATGAATTGTAAATACCACGTACAGGACCCACAATTGACTCATAACCGTGCATTCGATAAATAAAGGAGCGATGTGGTTTTAAAAATCTTTGTCTTTCCTAAATGTTAATTCAAAATTGTACTTATAATTTTAAATATTATTTATATTAAAACATACTTGTTCTTGGAAAATTAAACGTTCTTCAGTATTGGAAGGTGTTACTATCCATGTATCTAATAATGGTATTGATAAAGAAGTAGGTGAATCAGTTTCTGATACTTCAATTGATGAAATAATATTTGTAGTAGATGGTATTGGAGACGTATTAATACTAATCACTTCATCTTTAATAACTTTTACTTTTGAACTCATGTTATTCAAATTATACAGCCAACATTTGCATAAATCTCCAAGTCTAGTATCCGAATCTCTACCAGCGCCAATCCACTGATATGTATCTAAATTAGGTTTATATTCAATAAATGGAACAAAATCTTCCGGCTGCCACTCTAAAGAAAACATTTCTATATGTTAAATAAATAACATTTAACATATACAAAATACTCAAATTACCAGGAAAATGCCCAGCTAAAAAGCCTATAGCTGATAGCAAGGCTTTAGGCCAAGTTTTTAATGCTAAACAATGATACCAATCTGGATTTTTCTGATGATTTTTTGATGTTGACTTCACCCATTCTTGGACACTATTCAATAGTGCGGTCATATTCATACGATGTTCCCAGGTAGAACAGATTATATCTCTTATAAGTACAAAAAAACTAACAGCCACCTTTTTTGTTTTTAGTTGACGTCTGAAATTATATACAACAAATTAGGAAAATTGATTAAGGAGTTTAAAAATACTGTATTATAAAATGTAACTTACTTCATATTTAAATCCTCAGTACTGTCAACTTTAATGTCTAATACATGGAAACCTTCTAACTCTGACAGTGATCCAACATAATTTGAATCTGTGATTACTTTACTAGGAGTAGTTACCGGTGATAATGATAAATGTTTAGAACTGTAATTATTCATATTTGGAGAATGTAAACATGACTGCAACATCCTTGGTGGAGACCTAATTGAAATAAAACTTTTATTACAATAATTATCTTAGACTAAATTAAGTATAGTATTATCACTGAATAATTTTAAATTTTTGAATCTACACACTACTAGAAAAGCAATTTCTTGACAGCTTAACCTATTTCTATGTATTATTTTATAAATTATACAGTAAAAAATTCTGTAAACTAGTCCAAAAGTTTTGTCCGACTCTTAGAATTATATTATTTGTTAAATAAAATTATGTAATAAAATAATAACTAGCTATTGAAAAAAAATATTTAAAATAAAACAAATTAATACTTACTCAGTATTAATAGAGTGCACCGTACTAGTTAACATATCTTCTGGATGAAACTCTCTTTTAACGAGATAGGTAGGTGGACTAAACTTAGATTCTGAAATGTTTTCAAGTGGTAATGCTGGTGACGGAGGTAGAGGTAATGGTGGCGGTGGTGGCGGTGGTGATGGTGTTAAAGGTGTGTTGTATTTTTGTTCAACATTACTCATTTGTTCTAACAACATAGCTGCAACCTGACCTTCTTCTGCTTTACGTATTTCATCAGCTGTTAAACTTATTGGTTCCATCTTAATAGGAATATCTTGTATTATATCCTTTTCAATTTTTACTAAATCAGTAGTAATAGGTAAACAAGAGTCTAATTGTATGGCATTCAAATTAGTTTTAATTGATTCTTCCTCAATAAAATCAGATATAGGTGTTACTAATTTTGGTGAAGCTATTGTAATAGGTGGTGAAACTGGTGGAGATGGTGGTGAAGGTGAAGATGAAGAGACAACCTCTTCTTTAACATATAAAATACTACTAATACTACTCGGTTCTGATTCAACCTGTTCTTGCTTAATTGGAGTATTATGGAATTCATCTAACAATACAGGAGGTTTTACATCTATTTGTATGGGCGTTATGGATTGTGATTGTTGTTTAATAGGTTTTGTTCGCTTCACCCGGGGTCGGTCATTTAACGCTGACCTTTTTTTCTCAGCTCCCAATAATACTGTTGGCCTATTATATTCTTTTACTAAATCAAATCTGATTTGTTCTTGTTCCTTAAAAAAAAAAAATTGTTTTAAATAATTATAAATTTAGTACTACATAATATAGTATATAAAAAAAACATACTTGTTCAGTGTACTTTTGTTTTTTTTTATGGGATATTAACATTTCTCTATACATATCCTCGGTAGGATCAAATGGATTACTCATTGGTAAAGCAACTTTAGATAAATCAATAGCATCTGGATAAGTTGCCATTGTAGAAGTGATAGTTTCTAGATCAGGTGCAAGAGAATTTTGTACAGCACTTAAATGGCGACGTTGTTTTTTACTTAAACGAGGAGGAGGGCCTTCTAAATAGAACAAATATAAATTATTAATGAAAATGAATAAACAAAACTTGGAACAGTTTCAAACCTTGATAAATGCTATCAGAACTATCTTCCGAATTGTCTCCTATTAGATGTTTAATATCAGAAAGTTCTCTAAAATATCTTCTTTTAACTTGTTGGTGCATAGTGAAACTCTGAATACCTCCAATATTATTTGTCACAGATGTATTTGTAAAACCATTTAAATCATCAATAATTTTTTTTCGACCAGACAAAATTTTTTTTAATATATTATAACTATATATACGTTGATTTTTTCTAAAATACAAAAAAATGGTAATTATTAGTTTCAATTTTAAAGGAAAATTATATTTAAAATATACTTACCTATATTCTCTTTTGAGAGATCGTCGTAAAAGTGATTTCATTTTGACAATATCAGGACGAAAATGTCCATTTCTTAATTTTTCATGAAAATCATTAATTGGATTAACTCCAAAACGAAAATTCTGTCCACCAAAAAGCATCCTTAAAGTAATTTCCTTTTCCATTAAATCATTTTCAGGAAATGTGGGAAGAAAATTCTACATAAATAAAAAAATTGCATTAAATTATTACAAAATCTGAGACAGACTAAATAATAATGGTTACTTATTCCACATTTTATAAAATTTTATTCAGATTTTTTGAATATCTGTTTAATCATTAATTGTTTATAAAATTATTATTTGTAGAAATGTAATTATATACCTTTAAATGTTGTTTTTGCTGATCACTTAGGCACACCCAAGAATTAACAGAAAATAATTGTTTGAACACTTCTTCATCTTCACACATCCCAACTGGTAAAACAAGTTCAGTTTTATTGGCTAAAGCTGTTTCAGTTTTTAGTGATATAGTTTCATCTTCATCGGCAGTACTAGTACTTTCAGAATCTGAACCTGATTGACTACTACCACTACTACTAGTAGCTGATGTACTAGTACTTGTTGTTGATGATTCAGTGTCATCATTACTTTCGTCTTGTTCAATTTCAGGTGACGATAATTCATCTTCATCTGTATTTGAAGCAGATTCTTGAGGCCAATGTTGGTAGTCATTATAACTAGACATGGTAGTTGTTTAAGACAAAAAATACACTGAAAGAAATACAAATATATGATGCTTAAAATGAGAGAAGTACAATCTTATATTATTTATAATCCTTTCAAGCTCTTTTTTTAAGTTGTATTTTTTAATTTTGTTTAATTTTATCATTTTTATAACTACTTTTTTAAAAATATTTAATGCATTTTATTTAGGAAAAATAATACTAACACTTTTTTATTTACATAAGTAACTTAATTTTTCTTTTATAATTTATAAATATTATTAATACATAGATTGAAGGAGTTCAAATTATTTAAATATGTACAATATTATATTAATTTTAAAAATATGTAGGTCATCAATGGTTTGGTCAAACTACAGTTAAATATAATAAATGTCAGTGACAGATTTATCACAGTTCTTTGGAGGAGAGGCAAGTTTCAAATCAACAGGGGTAATGGGGTACAATTTTTATCCACAACCCACTTAGGTACTCATTATAATACCTTAGTGTATTAAATACTTTTATAGTTTTAATATATAATTTTCAGTTTTACATAAAACATAACTCATTTATTAACAATAATACATAATTATTTGGTTAAAAAAATTATCAAAAACCAAAAAAATCAAAATCCAACAACTAAAATTAAAATAAGCATTGGTCTGCTCAATTTAAAAAGAATATTTAGTTTAATTTAATTTAATGTATGACCAGCATGATAGTTTTCATACTACAGATTTGCTTTTTGTGACTTATGATGTATGCAGTACTGATATGTATTAGGCACCTATATTATAAAGGTTATTATATTATAATTCTTTAGAGTAATACATCTTATTAAAATTATATTCATATAGGTAGTCATAGAAAAACTTCAAGGTCATTAGATTCATTAGACTAATATACTTAAGTAACTACTATTCAGTTATTGGAAACATGAAATTCAAATTGAACAATAAAGGTAATTTATTTTTTATGTACAATTTTTGAACATATGGAGGTTTTTATGGAGTAAATTTTTTAAAAAAACATATACCTAATATAATATTATAAAATAAATGCATTTATAATTTACCTATGTTAACAAAATAAATGAAATTTGGTTATTTAGTTTTTATATTTTACTATTTTGAAAATGAAAAGTATTTTTAATATTGTATTTGTGTACACATTAAAATGCTAAATGTATTATTAAATTTAGGTATTAAGGTAATAGTTTACCTACTTACAATTAAAAATATTGAATCTTAACATTTCTATTTAAACTACTAAATATACAACTGCATGTAGTTGGTTAATCACTGGACACTAGTTATTAAAAATGTAACAAAATGTAAATCTCAAGACAGAATACAAATTAATGAAATAACAACATCCTTAAAGAATTGTTTCTGATGAAAACAAATTTAAACCATTTATTAGACAAAATTAAACTTAAGAGATAGGTATCCAAATTGTATAATAATTGATAAACCATTATCAAACAAACTGAAAAGTGCGGGGAACATTTAGAACATTATCAACAGTATCATTCCACATTTGGGTACAAGTGACAGGTACAACAACATTTTGTTTAATACGATATATACTTCAAAAAGCAATTATGGGTAATGGTAATAAAATACTACTCACCGAATTTAAGTCACAAGAATGGCCGAGAAAAACCTTTAGGTCGTACCACAACAATCCACCGTTAAGATATGATTGAATTTTTTTGAGTCCTTTTCAACTTTCACCGACAGATACAAAACAAACAATATCGTGGCAAAACTGCGGCCTAGAAAGGCCAATCGGTTCTTTTCGTTGATCTATTCACCGGACGTAAGATAGAGAGAAACGGCAACAAACGGTCAATGTTGCGGATCGGAGCTGCCGTTGTCGTGTCTTGTACATACGTTGTGGACATAGTAGCATTATCGTTCGGGTCGTTCCGGCCGACATAATGTATAATATAATCAGAAAAATATTGAATCTTGTTGCACTGGATTCCCTCTCGCCGCAAAACGTAATGAAAAGACCAACTGTATAGTTTATATTCGTATTGTTTACAATTTTTATTATGAAAAATATACAATAATAAACCATAGCCGCCGCGGTATTTCTGTGTTTTGTACCCCCAGATAATCGATATTGATAACGAGTTTTGATCATGGAAAAGCAAACGATTGTATACGCTTAGACTACGGTCTTAGATTATGTAAATCTTGGATTCTAACCCAGTGATATAGACCTATAGGCAGGTCAATACTGAATCATAAGCTTTTACCTAGAGAATACCATAATAAACTAATAATAAGTCTATGCCTACGCCATGATGTAAAATGCGCCTCAGATTACTTTGTTTTGATCACGATTATAAAGAGTCTTTTCCACTTACAGATAACAAAGGAATACATTATCATATTATCACATTATTATATTTTGATTCCACCATAGATATATATAATAATAATATAATAGTATGGGTATTTATTATCTATATTTGTGGATTCCACTGCTGCCATATCGACGTTTTATAAAGTTCTAGAAATCTCGGTGTGGTTTAATCATAGACCTATAATCTAGTTAGTAAGGACGTCCTTAGTTCCCTAAATACTATGGATGCGTTCGTGTAGCACGCTTAGGGCTAATTAAACAGTGCGTGAATAAACAATGATTAAGACCTTTGGCATGTTGTATAGTGCCAATTAATAATTGATTATAAGTCCGTTAAGTTAATCAACTATCCGAGGCACGAACTAAGATAATAATGGACTGGCAACTACACGACTGCCGGGTGGTAGCTGTGCTATCGAGTTTTTCTACTGAGAGTACCCAAATGGGTAACATTCACAGATAATATACGAATGATTTTTTTTATCATGAACCAGCAATTATCTCAGGATTTTAAGTGAATTTGATTTCTGTATTTTCTAATCATTATGGAATCGTTAAAGCTTTATTTTAAAACCATTTTGTATTTTTTAATCCTACTCCATATACCTTAAATAAGTGCATACTTTTGATTTTCAAATAGGAACCCCTCCTTTACGAACACAGATTTGAATAGAGAATATTTTTCTGGAAATATTGATATGCATTATATTGGTATCTAATTTACCGTTTATGAGTTATAACAGTTTTAAGTTTAGGCAGGAGGAGTAGGGGAAGGTCATAGATAGACAATTTATTTTTACTCCTCCAGCCTAAACTTTAAACTGTTATAACTCATAAACGGTAAATTTGATATTAGTTTTATGAAATAATTGGTGGTTCATGATAAAAAAAACAATCACTTTATATGATATATAAAAACTATCAAACTATTCGCAATTGAAAGGAACTATAGGTAGCGCTTTAGTCGACACTAATGTTAAGACTGACGGGGAGATAGACACTATGATAGCATTAGAATAATAGTAATTTAGCCAAAATAATCCATTTATTACTAATTTTTTCTTATTAAAACTTATTTTATCATGTACCTTCCGCTAACAATATTTGATAAGAAAGCCCAATGGTTCTCAATTTTGTAGATAATGTTGCCTATACAACTCCTGATTTGTACTTCTAATGATGTAATATGTTGCATATCCAGATCCTGAAATTGTTCAACGTATCTGTTTATTGCTTATCTTATTTTCGAAATATTCTATTCCTGTTAGAAAAAATATTTCATAATATAATTATAATAGGTATACACACAAAGATTGCCAATGTTCAATTCTGAGTTTTCATATATGTTTGCATAATTAACTATAAAATAATATTTTAATAAATTATAATAAATAATAAATTAATATTATAATAATTTAATAATGTATTAATGTCATTATTAATGACAATTATAATTACCAATTTTATATTAATTATTAAATGTAAAATATGACATGGGAATTGTAATTTTTATAAAGATATGACGGAGTTATTTTTAAAGGTATTTTTGTAAACAAGTCTTATCAAATAAAAATAAAATCAATAAACTTCTTTCTTTTTATTATCCGTAATATATCTAAGGCTTTCAGTGAATAATATTAATGACAGTTTTAGACAAATAGGTAACTATAGTTGTATTGGCCAAATAAATGATTATTTCATAGTATTTTCAAAACCTATTATAAATCTATAAGTATTTTGTATACCTACACACATTATTTTATTATTCTTTTTTTTTTGATTAAATTTGTCAAAACTGACTTGTACACCATGAAACAATAATTGTTATGGAATTGTTTGATGATTACCTATTCATTAAATTATTAATACAGCATAATAATTATGAACAGTTATCATTTTGTTCGTTAAATATTAACCTCTAGTTGATTAATTGTGAAAAAGATAGCCTTCTACTATATCAGTTGTAGTAGTATTTGAGATTACTTGTTAGAGTTTTGTATTATTAAAAGCAATATTGTACGTAAGGTAAGGTTATCTTAAATATTGAATCATTGAAATTCATGACATTTTCATACTCAGCCACTCAGTCATGATAAAGCAAAGTACCTATAGTAATAAGAAATATTTAACAAATAAGAATTTAAAATTAATAAATATACACTTCAAAAAAAATTTGTCCAAAATGTATATTAATAAAAATAGGTAAGTATTCATTCCAGGGATTACATGGAATTCACAAGGGTATGCAATGAAAATACTTTTTAATGGACTGTGCTTTAATTTGTGAATTTTAGCTCAATACATTTTCTAAAAAGTAAATTGCAAATACTAATAATAGTCTTTTTTTTAGTTTCCAATAAAAATCTAATAATTATAATTTGTTTTGTAGATGAACCACAGAGTGGACATCAATTAGAACATGGGTATCATAAGTATTACACAAAAATACATTTTTTTTTTTACTAAACACTTGCCTTTTTATTTCAAATGAAACCCAGGTAGTTTGAAATTATAGAAATATTGCCTTAAATTAATGATTAAGTACTCATAAGTACCAAGTAGACAATTATCAATAACTATAAGTTTTATACTTTAATACAGGTGTGTACGGTATAACATATAATGTAAGGCATATTAAATTTATTATCAATGTAATATTGTTAATTGCAATTTAATATTACGGTAAATAATGGAAAGATAGGTAAGTAAAGAATAATACAAATATTATGAAAGAGTTGCTGGTTTGAAATTTCATTACATTATGATAGTATTAACAAAATATTATGTGTATTAAAATTAGGTACCTACACTATAAAATCTTCTAAATGTGTTATAGGTCGCAGGTGAAGTAAATAGAAATGTTATTCTTACCTATCATTATGCATAAAATGTGATGAACATAAACACTTATATCAGGTAGCTAAATATGTAACTGTACTTAACTGCCAATAGTATTAAATAATATATGATTGATTATCGATATAAGTTGGAGTAAAATCAGTGGTAGAAAAGTTGCTCACAGAAAAAAAAATAATAACAATAAACATCTTTGTAAAACTATAAGCTATTTCGCTCCACTCAGAATCTAAATATATCCTAAGAAATATTTAAAAATTAAGATATTTAATTTATTTAGGTTTTTTATACACTCTCGTACCAGGTTACCAAATTCTTTTAAAATTATATGCTATGGAATTTTAGTTGATTGTTTCAAACATTAGGTTTACAAACCAAGAACTTTGTACATTGCAAGTGTAGGTTTTCCTATCATGTTTGGTTTTTAAAATAGTTATAATTTTTTTATATGATAGTTTCAACATAAAAACCACAATTTTGCGATGTTCCCCGTTAAACTGAGACAATAGATGAGGGTGCGGTGCCTCTTAATATTTTTCATCTGGAAGGACTATATTAGTGACTTGTAATATTGCCATCGCTAATGACATGATTAACAGAATTATTTCTCTAACATTTCTTTTAGAATATTTTGTACACTATTGTCAGGTAAATGATTAAATAAAAGTAAATTTGAACTCAAATACCAAACATAAATATTTTTGGTAAGAAATATTATTAGACAATTGACCGGAGCATATTTTGTAAATTTGATTATACAATTTTGATTACATCATATCACGTGTAGATGTAATTTGCTATGATCGTCTCATAATGTTTCATGTGCCATTGATGTGTGTGTATTAGTTATTGTGATTATTTATATATCTACTGATCACATAATTATATGTTCTTTCTTTAAAATTTAATGCAATTATTGTATAATTATTATAGATATAAATTATCTAATTTATAATTTGATTATAAAAATAGTTACATGTTATTAAATTTTTTTTTCAAATTACCATTATTTTACAAAGACTCATGAATAATACTAATTAGACAATAAATTGTTTAATATAATTTTTTTATTTATATAAAATAATAAATAATAACAATAATTATAATAAAATTAACCATAATTATTTTACATTTAATGAATATATATATATTTAATTTAGAAAAAAAATTTAAACAAATTAGTGTAATTCTTGACCCAACAATGATAGCTGTTCTAAAAATTCTGGTGCATTATTTATAACAGTTGAACCATACACAATTCTTAATTGTGGCATGCCAGGCGACACAGTTTTATTTTTTACATATTCCAATAAATTTTGATACTCTATATAATTGCCTCCGCCAACTATAAATACTATAACCTCGCTGAAAGTATTCTTGGATTTAAACCCATCAGAGTTCCGTAACTGTTTTGGATCAAAATGCCGAAAATCATCTGATGTGCTAGATGACTGTTTATTTTCTAATAACTCATCAACAATTCTAGTCACAGGAAATGTGTGTCTTTTAACTACTAAATTTTTAACACCTTCCATTACAAAAGAAGAAGTGTGAGAAAGTAGTTTTTCAAACATATTATTAACAGATTTGGTACCCCCTCCATATTGATTTGTTGTAGACGTTATGTTGGAATACATTTTCCATCTTTTAATATATTTGAGTGGACTAAGATCACAACCTTGTTTTTCTAGAGCTGAAGAATAATTATCCATGTCTGAATCTAATATAGAATGAGTATAAATATAGTAAATTATGAATAGTCTCATTTTATCTTCAGCAGTTCCTGCCTCTGGGTCATTTATAATATCTAATATTTGTTTATCTAATGATGCTTGGCTCATTACTTTTTCCTCAAATTCAAATAGTAAGTCTAAACGTCGAGATTTAATCACCGATAAAATGCTTGTAGCTAAATCTGTATGCATGTCTATTAGTCTTTTTTTTTCTAATAATTGGGGTAAAGAATTAACAGCAGATGTCAGCTTAGCTGTATTGTCACTCATCATTGCTAAAGCCACATCACTTTCTCCATCTAAACCCATAGATTCTTTTAGTTGTTTAACTTCTTCTTCAGAATTTTTCAATTGCTCTAATTCAGATTGAATTGATTCTGCCACTGTAGGAAATGGACTTCCTTTGTGAGTCATCCAAAAAGCATCTTTTGGATCCAGATCAAAGGTTTTTGGTTTCTTTTGCTCATGAACCACTGTAACCCTGTTTAAATTAAGCTTCAATACATCGTGCACTAATGCTTGATAAGTCCATGTATGATGTAGAGGTGTTGCCATATCAACATTTCGGTCAAGAACAATTAAAAGAGGTCGTTGAAAATTGTAAATTCCAGAATTCTCTGACGAGAACAAACTATTCCTAGTATCCCTTAAATTCTCTCTAAGTTTTTTATCTAATTTTTCAGCAACCATTTCTGCAGCATTACCTCGAGCACTACGAATAATAGGTAATGTTCCAAGGGTAACAAAAACAGAATATAAACCGTCAACAGTATCATCAATCATTATTTCTACATCTGTGTCTTTTGCATCTGAACGATTCAATGCGTAATATGACACTGATTGAGAATTCTGATTACTTAATAAAAATAACTCATCTTCCAAAGATATAAAATTTAAATATTGATCATAAATTTTATGAACATGGATAACATTTTCTGTTTGTAAAGCTGAACTAGCCAAATCTTCTAGTTTTTGACGGCAAATAGCTGAGATAAAGTTTAAATAATATTTTTCATAGACATTGTTTTGGAAATCTTGAGATATTCTATCAAGATTATCTTGATCTGGCATACAAAAATAAATAGCTGCTACATCAGGTATGGGATCACGTTCAGAATGAATGCTCAAATGTAATGTTACACCACATTCTCTTAGTTCTTTAATTGGAATTAATGGTGATAAGATATCTTGACCACGGCGATCATATATCAGTACTTTCCATACAGGTTCTGAACTACTGTCTTTATAGTCTGGACTATTTAAGTTTAGCATTTGCTTTAACGCAGCAATTTGTTTATCTCGAATTGATGTCATAATAAGTGTTTTATTTTATAATTACAGTGTTTTTATTATTTTAAATTAATAATATTAATATCATAACCAAATAATTTTTCTTTAAATCATAATAATCTTACTTGACCGATTTTATTTTGTAGGAGTCATGATCCATCCTAAAAAAAAAAAAACATACAAATTACAATTAATTATTAAATAAAATATTTGAAAAATTAGAAGCTAATAAAATTTAAGTGAAAGTTTGTTAAATAAGTATATATTATACATACCTACCTAGTCTATAAAAGAAAAAGTATAGCTTTTAAAATTTCTTTAAAATTATAACCAGTACATAATACAGTAAGTATCAACATATTTGTCTATTATGTAATATAGATTTATTGCAAATAAAATTTATTTATCAAAAGGTATAAGTAAAAATCGTGAATCGATTCATAAACAATATTTATGAAGAAGTAATAACAAATGTTTAAAATGTACAAGTAAGTATCTAATTTTAAGTATGTACGAGGGTTACAGTTATTTTAATTGATTTTTAAAATATTTTATTTAGTACAAAAATTTAAGATTTACACCCTATAAATGTAGTTAAAAGTTTAATCTTGGATGGTTAATAATTTAGAAGATAGTGGAATCAAATTGAGAAGATGTAACCTAAATTTCAACAAATTAATATTTATATTAAATAACTTACTTTTTATAAAACACAAGTTTTTCGCATCAAAAATTTAATTTTAATAGAGAAATAAATTTATTTCTGTAGTATAAATTGTTATGTTTTTAGCAATTAAAAAACTTAGTTACAAAAATAAAATTACTTTTACTTTTATACTTATATCAATTGATTTGTTATCAATGTGGTGTTGTCACTTTTGTGTTACCACGTCAATTTTTTACGTTACCTGGTACAACATGATCGACTGACATAACCTCAAACATAATTTGCTTAATTTCTTCTGAATTCTAATAGATTTTTTTGTTTAGAAGTTAGGATATCTAATTTTCTATTAACTAAATTTTTAGTTTTGAATTTTTCATTTGAATTTCATTATTTTATAAAATGGCGTTAAATTTGACTGTGAAAATACACCCAGTTGTATTATTTCAAATTGTGGATGCTTACGAACGAAGAAATATTGATGCCCATCGAGTAATAGGAACATTAATGGGTTTGTGAAAAAGAACAATTTATCTAAATAATAATCGTTATGTAATACTTTGACAATATTTGTATTGATATTGCATCTGTATGTCTAGGTACGGACGACAAAGGTGTAGTTGAAGTAACCAATTCTTTTGGAGTTCCTCACAAAGAATATGAAGACACTGTAAGTAAATAATAATATAGGTACCTGTAATCTATATACATTTTATCTATAACATCTTATGGATTTTAAGGTGGAAGCGGATATTATATATGCAGCTGATATGTTCAAAATGAACCAAAAAGTTAATAGATCAGAAAAAATTGTTGGATGGTGGGCTACAGGTAATGAAGTGACTACACATTCATCAACAATCCATGAATACTACTTAATTGAATGTAAAAATCCTGTACACATTACTTTGGACACAACATTAAAGAATGATAATATGGGTTTGAAAGCATATATTAGGTAAGATATTAAATTGATAATATAGAAATATATATATATATATACTATGGACTAAGTTTACTTAGCTATATTAATGTGAAATGTGTGAAAAAAGATTAATTAATTTATCAGTTTGATATGGGATATAATAGGTAGGTATGACAATAATATAATCCATTAATCTAGAGTGTTTGCAACATGTTTAATATATTAAAACAAATATGATAAATAAACTATTGAACATATAAAATATTAAAATAAATTGTTTAGCTTTCTCTGATATTCTATATTACCTATAAAATTATGGTTGAGTTGCTTTTACCAACGTTTTGTAAGTAATTTCTATTTAATCTGATTTTTAAAATGCTTTAAAATTATTTTTAAATCAAAGTATGACCTTTACTATAACACTAATAATATTATTTAAGAAACTACATTCATTAATAAAATCAAATATACTCAATTTTACGAGTTTTTAGAATACATTTGTAAAAGAAAAGTTAATCCTGGTGACGAGTATACCACTATTATCAATGAGAAGTTGGGAAGGTAGGATACATAAGGTTATTTAATTTATATTTATAAGCATCAATAAACCATTGTTAACGAAAAACGATTTGGAGTGAAGTTCGATTTAATAAAACCTTTTTATATAGCACCAACTAAATAAAATTTCCTTTTCGGAAAGAGTGCTATGCTACACTTGATACATTGGAACAAGTTTTCTTTTCGAAAAGTTATTTACTGGCAGAAAAAAAAACATTAAAATCAATAGGTCCCTTGCTATGCTCCGAATCTAAAATATATAATTTAAATTATCATTATACAATACTATACTACCAAAATATTGTATTTGACCTAGAGTTACACCAATTATAATTAATATGTGTAAAACATCAAAATTATATTTGAAAAAAAAAATGACCAATTTTCAACTAGAAAAATATATATTACAATTTTTAAATCTGTTCAGTATCTATTTTTATATTCAAATGTACTTAATTAATTTGTACTAAATATTTTTTTTATATAGCACACAAATAGGTGTTCCTGGTGGTAAAACTGGAAATATGTTTATTAATGTTCCAATTGAAGTTACATGTTACCAACCTGAAACAGTCGGATGTATGTAATATATTTGTTTTATTATGTTTACCTATTTTTGTTTAATTATTCATTTAAAAATATCCTTTTATATATAATTAGTATTATTAGTATTAGTATTAGTAGTCATTTATAGTCTTTATTATTAATTTATAATATAAATAATAAGAAAAAAATGTATCCACCTCAAATATCTTTATAATAGAATTAACTCAAATGTTAAAGTTAGTTTATAGAACTCCATGTGTAAATAGCATATACATTATTTTAATAGTATCTAGGTGTATTTCACATTTCTAAAATATTTTCGACTATGGGAGATTATCTTTCTAAATATAATCTATTACTATAATTAAAAATAAATATTTGTTGGAAAATAAAGTAGGATAGAAGAAGTGAGGAAGACCAAAAAAGAAATAGTTGGTTACTATTGATAAAAGATGGTAGGTATATCAGGATGATGTAGGGATCAGGTCAAGTGGTGGAAGTATAGGGTAATTGGCCCCAAATAGTTGAGATGGTGGCAAAACAGAAGAAAAAATATATTAAATAGGTTCAAATATATAAATTAATGCATGTATAGGTAGTAATTTGTACTTAATTTTTCTTATTAGTGAGCTTGTGCCAAAAAACAGTAGCCGTTGGACAAAAATGTCAAGAACCCATTGCTGAGCTAGTACAAATAGAAGAGGCATCATCAAAAATCTCAGACCTTTTGGATGTAGTGATATCTTACATTGATAAGGTTTTAGCATCAAGTGACTCTATCATAGCTGAAAACAGTCATATTGGCCGTATGTTACTTGATCTTATGCAAAGTGTTCCTCATGTATCGCCGGAACAATTTGAAGAAATGTTCAACTCCAATGTCAAGGTATACAGTTTTAACTATTTTATCTCATTAAAATGTTAATAACAACATTTACATTTTTTTTTTTTAGGATTTATTGATGGTTATTACTTTGTCTCAGCTGACCAAGACTCAATTAGAGCTCAACGAAAAACTTACACTACTCAGTTTGTCTTAAGTATCAATATAACCAATTTCTTTTGTTCAGTTTACCATTTGCATTATAATCTAACAAAAACTATTTTTTTGGAATTTTGATTATCTATAGCCAAAGTAAATTATATTGTTCTGCACTGCTGTACTGGAATAAATTCAATAAAAGATATAAAAGTAAAACAAATTTACATATTTAAAAAATAAAATATTTAATACCTAAAACAATTAAACATCAAATTTTTTTTTTAGAATAGGTACCTATTGTACCTACACATTACTATATGAATGTTTAAGGCATTTTATATCTGTATTAGTTTTTGTCTTTGGTTTTGCCACACGATAAATAACTCATTTTTTTTTTTGTCATATAATATAATTGGTGTAATTTTAAGTCAGTTCCGCACGGCAAGTTGTCCGTAGCACACGTCTGTTGACCGTCGTGCACGTACACTATCGCCCTGCGCTTATCGCATCTTAAAATTAATGAGTACAAAGTCGAACTGTATTCAGTACAATTATCATTGTTTTCCTTATAATTTCTATACGTGTTTATTCAAAAACATAATCTGATTCCGTCACCACCATCGCCAAACCAGCTGTAGGCCATGACTTACAACTTATCAACTACTGTACCATGCAACAAATTAACTCAAACACGAATAAATCTAAAGACAAATCGAAATTATCTCCGATAACTATTTAAAAAACTGCTTCTCATAAGATGCAGGACGTAACTTCTCCGTCTGCCACTTCTAACAACAACCAAGAATGGAATACTGTTGACAACAACAAACGCATTAGGTCACTAAATAATACTACCTCGCCTCGCACAAAAAAAACAAACAAGCCGTCAAATTTCTCCTCACAAACCAGTGTTCTCTACTAGACACCAACATAATATGGATCTCGAAATTAACACAGAAATCAACGAATCACCTCCACCACCAATTTTCTTAACATCTCTGATGTTCTCATTCATCTCTCTGTGTAAAAACCTAGAACAAATAACGAAAACCGAGGGCTTCCTTTGCAAATCTAACTCAAAAAATATAAAAATAAACCTTCACTCAGCCAGTTCTTACCGCACCGCTATAACATTGTTCAATGAGCCCAAACTTGAATACCACACATACCTGCATCATACAATCCCTACTGATTATATTAAAGAAGAAATAGAAAACACGGATTTCTGGTAAAAAATATCTCTAACATCCTAAAATCCCAATCAAAAGAACCCCTTTCACTATTCTTTGTAGACCTCAACCCATCCCCAAACAACCAAGATATCAACATAAACAATATATATTTTACTAAAGTCAAATTTGAAGCCCCACATATCAGACGTGATCTGATACAATGCCATCGCTGTCAACAGTATGGCCATACTAAATCATATTGCAACCACCTGCCTAAATGCGTCTGATGCGGCGAAACCATACCTCGGACCAATACTCCTAATCCTAGGACCTACCTGTAAAATGCACCAAGGCCCACCCAGCAACCCATCTCAAGACACAACAGAAAACTCCGACACACTTCAAATCCAACCCAACAGCCAACCTCCTTCAGAAACATCAAATCCGTACAATGCTCTCGCAAGTTAAATGTACCCAGTGACGCCCAGCATTTATCATTCTCGCAAGCAGTTAAAGGTAATAAATCAAATAAGCTAAAATCAAGCCACATAAACGACCCACCCCCAGATCAACTATTAACAAGTCAACTTACAACTTTCATATACGAGTTTAAAACTAATCTCTCCCCTCCTAACACTTAAACCTTTAATAACCCTTCTTACCTCACTAATAAATAAATTAAGTACCAACAATGGAAACTAATTTTAAACTTAGACTACTAACATGGAACCCAAACGGCATTATACCCCACAAACTTGAACTTCAGGCAGCCCTCAATATTCATAACAGACACAGCAATGATATCCAAATCTCACCTAACCCCGACAAAATCTATTAAAATTCTTGGATACAAAGTTTATCAAAGTATTCACCCTGACTCCACTGCTCACGCTGGATCGGTGATCCTAATTAAAAATAATTTAATACTCCCTTCTACCGACTATTAGTGAAACGTATCTCTAGGCAACAAGCATCCAAGTTTCTGTCAACAAAACATTTTAATCTGTCTTTCTCCTCCATCTACTGCCCTCCAGGACCTAAAATTAACTCAAACAATTTCAAAAATTACTTCGAATCTCTAGGTAATCACTTCATTGTTGCCGGAGACCTTAATGCCAAACACTCTTCTTGTGATTGCCTCTCAACCAACCCAAGAGACAGAATCCTTTATAACTCAAACATAAAAATACTACCACCCTCTAACCCCACCTATTGGTGAACACATCAAAACCGCCGTCCAGATATCCTAGATATCGTCATCGCAAGAGTACCAAATAACTTCACTACTATTATCTCCAACATAAATGACCTGTCATCCGACCATACACCAGTCATACTCAATCTTGAAATTCCCTGTTCAAACTCCTCCACAAATCCTCAAAATCTTGGGAAAATAGACTGGCCTACTTTCCAAAAACTCATAGAAAACTCGTACACTACTCAACCCTTCCTTAAAATCAAGTGAAGACATCGATAGCACTATCCAAAAGCTCACTTCAGATATCCAGGAATGTATTCACTTAGCAACAACACCAAGCATAATTCACTCCAATAACCTACTCCCAAATCATATAAAATCTCTTCGCCGAGAAAAACAAAAAGCAAGATCCCGATGGGAAAGGCACAAATATCCCATTGACAAACACACTTTCAACCAACTAAATAATAAACTAAAGAAAGCACTCCAACAACACAACTTCATTTTTTATCAACAATATATCCAAAACTTGACATCTCATAACTCCTGCCTTTGGAAAACGACAAAAAAATCGTAAAAAACTGTCTTAACTTCATCTTCCCTTCGTAAAGAAGATAACTCATGGGTGGTCTCTGACACAGAAAAAGCAAACCTATTCAGCCAATATCTATCCCAAACCTTCATTCCACATGACATAACCCCAAATCCCACTTAAAGTCAAATTGTCCCACATTCTTTAGAGCTTGCATTACCCGTCTCACTCCCAACTAAGCACACAAGTCCAGGAGAAATCAAATTTATTATTAAAAAACTCCATAACAGGAAAGCCCCCTGGGTTTGATCCAATTACAAATCGTACTGCCAAAAACCTACCCAAAAAAGTAATCATATTACTTTCCTATATTTACAACACAGTGTTGCGTTTATCCTATTACCCCCTAACCTGAAAATTTGCAGAGATAATAATGATTCCGAAACCCAACAAACCTCCTGAAAAAGTAACTTCTTATCGCCATATAAGTTTACTCCCAACATTAACTAAAGTATTCGAAAAATCCTATTAAAGAGGCTCATACCACTAGCTATTACTGCAAAAGTTATCCCCGATACTCAATTTGGATTCAGACCCAATCACTCTACCATTCACCAACTCCACAGAGTAGTCGATACTATCTCAGTTTCTCTAGAGAAAAAACATTACTGCACTGTCGTCTTTTTAGACGTTGCTCAAGCGTTTGAAAGGGTCTGGTTTGATGGCCTACTTTACAAACTGCCTGCACCTTACTTCATATTGTTTAAATCATACTTGAACGATCGTACTTTCGTCATACGCCAGAACTTGAGCCACTCAAACTATTTCAACATCTTAGCTGGAATTCCCCAAGGCAGCAATATTGCTCCCTTCCTATACAATATCTTTACGCACGACATTCTTAAAACTTCCTTTACCGAACTAGGTTCCTACGCGGATAATACGGCAATTGTGGCCTCTAACAAAAACCCAATCATTGTTTCTACTTTGTTACAAAAACACCTCAACATAATCGACCTCTGGACAAAAAGATGGAAGATCAAAATTAACGAAATCAAGTCCTCCTTCATTACATTTACCCTAAAAAAAGGAATTTATCCCTTAGTCACAATGAACAACATCCCAATCCCTTCCTACTCAGAAGTTAAATATCTTGGTCTCATACTCAACAGTAAATTTACCTGGAATCCTCACATAAAAGCCAAACGAAAAGCCCTTAATACCCGACCCACTTCCTTAGACCATTACTGAAATCTAAAATAAATATAAATACCAAATTACTAATTTATAAGTACTTACTCAAGCCATTATGGACCTATGGCGTTCAATTATGGGGTGCTGCTAAACCCTCAAACACCCGTACAATCCAAGCCTTCCAGTCAATATGCCTCCGCCTAGTTACATCTGCACACTGGTACTTAACTAACAAAAATCTTAAAATCCTAAATCTTAACCAAATCTCCAAACTTTACTAAACCAGACTTCACAACAAAATTCAGCAACACACAAATCATCTAATTTTTAAATTATCATCAAACACACTCCCTGATAATCCACGGTGTTGGCTTAAAAGACAATGGTGCAGAGATCTCACTCTAGTAAGCGAGCTTAATAAGTGCTGGAGGTCGCTACCAGGGAACTTGTTTAAATCTTAAATACATTTTTCTTTTCTCATTTATCAAATCTACTCATTATACAAAAAATATTTATAGATAATAGATTTTTTTCAATAAAATAAAATTTAAAAAAATTTTAAGTTGTGTTTTCATAGTGAAAACAATTGTGAATGATTAACTAAAGAACTTTTTGTTGCCAATATTTTTATGTTTGAAGCAGTTTGTCAAAACTTAACTTGCAATATTTACAAACACATTTAGATTCTGAGTGGAGCAAAGAAGCTTATGGTTTTACAATGATTTTTATTTTTTTTTTTTTATCTGTGATCAACGTTTCTATTAGAAATATATACTACTATTTACAATGGTAACACTTTTTTGGAAATTTGATTGGGAATTTTAAAGAGGTCATTTTTTAATTTTCCCATAAGTTTTCTCAATACATGGGAAAATAAAATAAAAATGTAATAATAAAACATTTTTATCATTTCAAATAATTTAGTGCCCGATAATAATTTAAAAGATCTACTCAATATAGTTTTTAAAGTGTAATAATTTATATTTACTACTAAGATTTAAAATTCAAATTAAACTATTTTTTTCTTTTCCTTATAACATTTTTACATATTTATGAATATTCTATAACATTTATGGTTCTGTATAAATGGTTAAGATAGTTTGGATATTTTAAAAATTTAGATTCTTATGTTTTTATGTTATAATATATTAACAAAAATCAAAATTGTAAAAATATTGATAGTAACAAATCAATAAATGTAAATAATGAATCATTAATTTTAGTAATTGATATTCTTTAATAAGTATAATATACTTTTAATAAGTCTTAGTGGATCAATAAAAATAGATTTAATTCAACATTAAAATTCAATATTTTACTTTAATTGTTAATTATATTTAAAGAAGTAAGTTTTTATTCTACATAAATTACAACTAATATTAGAATTACAAACATACTCATAGACCAATTATAGTACTAAAACTTAAATATTAAAAAAGTATACAACAGTATTACATTTCAAATGTTTTAACATTATATTTAAAAAAATTTGATTGAATTGTGTACTCAAGCAGAATAAGTATAGGTAACTGAACTAATAATAATAAGCTTATATCTTTAAGAAATTGAATCACTGTTGGAGGAACCTATACTCTATTCTACTGACAAGTATACAATAAAACTAATGTTATTTTAAACTATAAAACTGAAATTAAATTTTATATACTTAATTATATTATGTTTATATCACAATTCACTGAAAGTTTATTTACAGAATTCAGTAAGATTTTACTTTTTTGAATCAACAATTATTTGATCTCCTTTGACTATATTGTAACTGTATAATCTCTTGTTGGGAAACTTCATTTCTTCAGGACCAATTACTGAACATACTTGTTGATCCACATAAAATATTCGCATACGGTGTGCTGGTATACCAGAAAATTTTTCAAATTTTTGTTTGAGGTCTGCTACAGTCTGATACACATCTAATGTATATTGTTCACACTTTTCACCGCATATAATAGTGACCAAAACTTTAATTTCAGGTGTCAAGTCTATGTTAACCAAAGGATCAAGTTTCCCATGTACTTGAATTAATTCACTATATCTAAAACATGTTTAAAGTGATTTTATAACTTTTGAAATATAAATTATGACATACCTATTTAAGTAATAACTAATAATTATGGATTAAAAATCTTTGAAGAATAAAACTAGGTATAAATTTTTAAGATTATTTAATTTAATTAGTTCAAAAAATATAATTTTTGAAAATTAAATTGTATTAGCTACCTAAAGATTAATGATTCAATCACTTATAGGTAGATAAATAGAAACTATTATGAAATAAATTTGAATAGAATTAAAATATTATACAAATTTATATAACTTTCTATACAATATACAAAGTGATTTAATAATATTAAAGTTGTAAAATGTATGTATAATGTATATGCATGATATATTTTTTTAAAATAATGTTAAATAATTAATGAGTAAGGTCTTTTTGGTACTGGTCTAGTTGACGTGTTGACACCAGCCAAGAAAGTATTCTCAGTCACTCAGGTTTAGTTGAAATCCACATATATCTAATATTTTTTTGATGTTCTAATCATTTGTTATACAATTTATATACTATATTTATAGATTATACATTTAAAACTAAAATATTATACTGCTAATAAAAAAAAAAAGTATATATGTGTGAAATTCACTTATTTGATATTTTAAGAACAATATTTGGTAAAATCTATACAGTAAAATTAATGATATAAGATAGGTATAACATCGGGTACCGTATATAATATTATGGAATACCTACCTGAGATATTCTGTCATCATCACTGAAATATCATAACTAAACCTGAATGGTGGGAGAATACTTTTTTGGTGGACATCAATTAAATCAGTAATGTTTTTTTACCTATCTGGGTGTTCATTTTCTGGCTTATCCATATAGTATCGGATTAAAAACCGTTCGGCATCTTCTCTTTCATCAGCTGTAATTTCTGCACCTCCGTTTAAAGTTTGTATATGGGGCAATCGTGCAATCAACAACTGCCTACGTTCATGTTCTGTGTATTCTTGTCTTTCAGAGTTTTCCTAAAATAAAAACAATCATCAAAGTTCCCATTAAATTTGGAATATATCTATATAAATATTTTAAGAATAGAAATTTAAGAATTTTTAATAGTCGCTACTTACTTCAAATAATGGACAGCCCTGTATTCTAAGGTATCTTAATGCAGGGAATCGGCCCAGGATATCTACATCGGCCCATGTTCTAATTAGGGTTCTGTTTAAGTTAAGGAATCTTAGATGTATGAAAGCGTCATGTGGTGAATCCAACGTCATATCTTAGAAGTGCAATATTTTATGATATAATAATTAATAATTGATTATTTTTTTATACTAATTAGGTAAACTCACCACAAAATTCATTATCTTTCCTTGGGTAAGATAAAAGGCCTAAATGAGAGTCTGGTGAAGGTGGTGGAGTCATAAGTGACTGCAGAGGACATTCAGCAAGTACCAAAGATTCCAGATTTGGAAATGCCCGTCCTAGTTTACATACTTCTGACCATGTAGAAATAGGGTTTCCTATAAATAATGTCTAGTTTAGTTTAAAAACAGTCCTTTTTTTTATATATATATATAATATCTTAACATTATGTTTAAGAACAAATGTATTGATTTATTGTATCTGAACCCGGACTATAACTTTTTATCTACCCAATTTTTTCAACATTTTTAACATCTAAAATTATTTCTAACTGAATTGGAACAAAAAAAAATCAAAATGGAAAATAATAGAAACCATTATTGAATAAATTGTCTAGTTTTCCTCCAATGTACCATCAAGAAAAAATTTACAATCAGAAACCACTCTTGAAGTTGATGATTGGAGCAAGATTTCTGATGGAAAATTTGTTTAACATACATCATAATAAAATCAATAAAATATTACACTCAAAATCAAAAATTATCGCAAAAAATGTTATTAACGGAGGACAAACAACTTGTACTTATACTGCTCTCAAAAATTGTAATACCTGTAAAATGTAACCGTTTTACAGAAGACATTTGAGTAGGTTGACGATGTTCATCTTCATCCAAGTTTATAACATCATAATTGTTCATACTTAAGTGTATTTCTTCAACCCTATACAAATATAAAATATTTCATGTAAATAATTATTTGTATATGTTGGAACTTTGAAACCACTGAACTATATGTATATAGTTCAGTGTTTGAAACTAGAAAGGTAAACAACGCACATAGGTATTCTTTTTAGGATGTGTCTAAAGCTGCGCCATGTTATATTTGTTGAATTCAACACGATGCTTTTCAGACATGGATATGTCTCTCGTACATCTCCACAAGCATCAATTGCACTATTTATATCTGAACTTAAATTATTAAAACTCAGATTGGCAAACTTTAATCTCGGCATGATATGTAATATTTTAAATATCTAAAGTCATAAAATAAATAGGTAGAATAAGTAAGTATAAGTTGTTATTATAATATATAATAATGAAAGTAAGTAAATTTTCGTAATTATAGCATTAAATTATCTAATATAAGTTTTTTGTAGAAATTTCAATTCTCAATGAATATTTTTAACTGAACTATAACAAAAACCGAATTAGCTACAGAGCAGTGGCACACTCTGATGAGGTCTGGGGTGTCAACTGACACCTCTCAGAAAATTAGTGGGTATCAGGTGAGTTTAGATGTTATTTTTATGTATATTTGTTTAATATTAATAATATTAACTTGTAATTGAGTTTTATTATGCCTAAACTCATAAATTTGACTGGTGGAGTGAGATGGGTATTTAGATATTTATATTTTCGACACCCTTGTAAAAAATGTAATGTGCGCCGCTACCACAAAGGAACACTCAGTGTAACGGGCTTGGCGAACTCAGGGGCGTAAAGAGAGTTATGTGCCTATCGGCCAATGTACACTATGTACATTTCAATAGCCCCATGCTGGCCTTAAGTGGTTGGTGAGGTCTAGCCCTCCAGGTCGGAGGTTTAGCATGGGGCTGACAACCCTGCTTTAGAAAAAACCTATTGTTATGTTATCATAAAATATTCCTCGGACACAGAGAAACGATTTTACATTTCGACATGGAAATCGGATGGTAAATTTTAAGATCGTGACTTGGAATTTATTTAAGATTTACAGGACTGGCGCATGACAGAATCTAGTCCTAATCCATTAAGACCTAAAAGATCTTAAGAACATATGGAGTTCAAATAGCAACCGAAAAATAACTACAGGAGATAATATGGGAAAGAACAGGACCGATAAGAATAAAAGATTACGAAATATATTTTTCAGGAATGATCAACAGGCACAATTAGGGGAGTGGTACCGCTGTACATAAGTCGTTGCTGCCACACATTGAAGAACTTGGACCAATTTCCGAAAAGATCGTAAGGTTGAGAATAAATAGCAGGCCAATAAATCTCATACTAGCATGTGTACATGCTACTACGAACACAAATGAAGATAAGTTATCCACAAAAAAAAAATAATAATAAACAGTACCATAACCTTCTTTGCTCCACTTATAATCTAGAAACATATTATATTTATATTGATAGATACGTAAAACTCACTTCACTCCATCTGGATAAGCAATTCTGAGCTAAATCCAATTCTTCAACACCATGACACTTGTCTCTTAAATCGGATTCTTGTCCGGCCGAATCGATGTCGCAGTCATTTAATACTAATAAATTTGGTATCATATTTCTGGGGTTTTTACGAGGCACATATATAGCTATAGGCATCTGATCGAACGTGTCATCTTCAAAACATCCGTACTTTTCTGCAATCGCTTCTAGCAGCGACGGCATGGTTGTATAATAATGGTTTCGTTGCCGTTTTGAGTTTCTGGCTCCTGTAACTAAGGTAACACGTTACTTTAATAATTTCATGCAATCTAATATACAAATATTTATAGTTAATATGTTTAAGTATGACGTTATGATTTATCTGCAGGATTGAATTCAACCCTCTGTAAATGTAAGGTACACATATAGACCATAGGTTTCGTTTATGTTATATGAGTATAAATAATTGGTTTTTGTAGCACAGTTGAGGAAAGGTGCAGTAACATTGAATACTTATAACTAGAGTAGACTAGGGACTAAAATTGTTGTGTGAAGTACGATACACTTAGTGTAATACGAAATTTTAAATGTGCAGTACGAAATTAAAAAGTTTTCAGTGGCCTATATTATGATATTTATTTGTTTTTGTTTTTAATTTTAAATTTGTTTGCACTTTTAATATCGATTTTTAATTCATAGGTAATAATTATTAAATAAAGAATCAAAATTGATCGTATGTGTAGTTAATATTTATTATATTCATGTGAGTAGATTATATTAGTTATGTCTTTTTTGAAATCGTTTTGAGTTAATTTATAAAAAAAAAAATGCAAACATACTAAATTAGTCTGAGGTAATATAAAATGTCTATTAGGTAGGTACTATATACTTATAATATATTATGGTTTGGTATAGTGTTCAGTACGAAAAAGTATACATTTTAACATCCGGAGCAGACAGAAATATGTACTGAATTTGCATATTTTTATTTGTTAATCAAAAAAATAACTAGTTATATATACCAAAATTTGTTTTACGACATAAAGAGTCTATAAACAAAATTTTATTTAGCATATTTGGCGTTTTAGAATTTTTAGAGTATATTTTCGGCTTTTATGCGATTTCAGAGCACATACAGAACACACAGTAGTAAAGCTCTAGAGCCCTGTGCCCATATTCGGACAAAAACCTAATTACGATTTACGAACCACCGTTTAGTATTCGCTTATCAGTTCCAAGTTTCTGACAGTCTGTGTGACTGCAATGCCGGCCCCAGGGGAGGGGGCAAGCGGTGCGGCCGCACCAAACTCCACGCTTGTGCGGGGCCTCGCCAATGATGTAATCCGAATTACTTTATCTATAAATAATCACAAATCATAATAATATTGTCCCAATAGCAGGTACGTAAATTGCGATCCGTGTGGCCGTATAGTTTTCTTAAAACACGGGTTGTTATCAACGAAAATTCAGATAGTAGGTACCAATTATAAATAGCTTGACACATTGTCATTGGTTTAAAAACACTTAAACATATTTTATCAGCATCGAACATAGTATTGCCGATTCTTTGAGCTACAATAAGACAATTGACCTGTTTGCATCAAAATAAGCACAAAAAAAATGTTTATGTAATATTTTATACTATCAATTGTATTACAATAATTTATGTTAATTTTTTTATTTAAAGTAAAAGTATACTTATTATATCATATTTATGTCATCGTGTTCAAAAAAATAAAAATACTAATTAATAAAATATTATTTTTATAAATATTAATAAAATAAATAAATATGGATATATTTACATAAATATATATGGGGCCCTGCAAAATTCTGCACCGGGTCCCGAAATCTGTCGGGTCGACTCTGGTAAAAGTGTGTGGCCATATATGTTATATATAGGTACATACTAATATTTTTATTTTTTATAGTTATTGAATAAAATAGAAAAAAATGTGTTTTCAATTTTTAATAAATTTAAGAAAAATAACAAGTGATTCTAATATAACTTTTAGTAAGTATAAATTATAATTTCTATTTCACACTTCATTTAGTTTTCTAACATTATTTATTTTTAAAAAACATGAAACATTTAGAACAACAAAGTGAGCAAGATGTGGATAACAGTTTCACTAATTCAATCCAAAAACTGTTTCATTTCCAGTTGATTTAGGAGATTTAAATACCGGACCTAAGCCGCCGGTATTACAAGTTAGTATATCTATAAAAAAAAAATAATACAATAAACATTACAGCTTATAGCGAATGTTGTTTAATAAAATATTTTTAATACATGTTAACTTTAGGAATATTTATTATTAACAAGATTTGGATCTCAAAACAGATAATTTTCTAGTAAATATTCAGAATTCAATTTTCTAGAAAACAGTACAAGTAAGGACCTAGCATTTTGTTTTTGTTATCGAAATTTTGGTTTGGAAATAATAGTAATAATTGTTATTAAAATTAAAAAATAAGAACATTAATAATAAGTTATTATTCATAATATAAAAGTATTTAAGGTAACTTTAAAGAAGCGTGCAAATTATTTGCAAATTTGATTTATAATTTTCTAATAAATATGATTGTAGTATAAACTATTCAAGTTAGTTATACAAAATCAACTCTTAAGTATCTGTGCTAAAAATGTCAGAGACAATATTATTTTGGATGTATAGAGGTACAAACAAATGGGTTTTTTATATTAATGTGTGACAAAGTTAGATAATTTTGATTTACAAGTACCTATAGGAAAAAACCCCATAACAACTACTTACATTTAGCAAAACTTAACTGATTTAAATAATCAGTTAAGTTTTGCTATTATTGATAACTGATTCACTATCGAATAATTAAATTGTATAATTATTTTTTTTATTTAAGGAGTTTTAAGGCCAACAGATGTCCATATGTATTAGATACACTGTTAGACTAGAAATCCATGAACGGTTGGGAATTTAAAGTGTCTAGAGGGCATAATTCTAGTTTTCTGGCTACAGAAATTTTGGAATTTTAAATGTAATTATTTAGTTATTTATTTAATATTACAATTTATTATTTAATTGTTTGTGAGTTGGCCACTTGTAAATTGTTTCTCAAAATCTGGAAACGTTTGAAATAATTTATTTTAAAATTCATTATAGGAATATTTTGGGTATACAATTTCTTTGGCTATACAGCTGCTTCTTGGCCCTTAGGTAGCTTGGTTACTAAAATATTTTGGTTTTCTTTTTATTATTATAATTTACGAATTTTTTAAATTCCAAAAAGGTTGAATAATATTTTTTTTACAAAACAAGTTTTTAACAAAACTCTATAGTGACTATAAAAATACCTACCACCTTGTCACAATAATTTATTGAGATAATAGCAATTGATATTTCTATAACATATACATAAAGTATGTATTCAAGGTAGAGGACATGTTTTTTTCGGCAATTAGTGATTCATAAAATATCATGCATAAAAATATAAATTTATATATTTTATATTTCTAAATTATAATAGTACTAATAATATATTTTATTAATACAACAAATTTATGTTAAATGCACTACATAAACATTACAGAAAAAAAAATATTTCGAAGGGCATGGGCCCCCAGTGTCCCTCCCCCTTGGCTACGGCACTGAATGTTAGTACCTTTATCAAAAATAATTTATACAATATACATCTTGATCACTTTAATTTTGCATTATTAATGAGAGTTGACACCCAATATATCTTTTAAACAAGTTAGGAACATGTCATTCTAAAGTGAACGTTATACCCGCATCTACTGCCTCAGTCTAACTATTGGGTAACATACAAAAACAATGCTTATGCAGAATAAGTAAAACTAGCTTAATTTTGATTTAAGAGTAAAAGTACCTATTATAAAATTTATAAAAAACAATATTTTGAAAGGAATGTCATAGTTTTTTTTTAATTATGGACTATTAAAAAAAAAATAAAGGGTTTTGTATAATTTATATCAAGCTGTATATTTTGAATAATTTAAACAACCCTATGGCATTCCCTTCAAAATATTGTTTTCTATAAATTCCATAATTGATACTTTTACTCTAAAATCAAAATCAAGCTATTTAATAAGGAATAATAAATACTGCTTAAGTATTGTTTTTGCTTGTAGCTGGATTGAAACAATAGATACAGGTATAACGTCCTCTTAAAAACTAGTCGAACCCCAACATATTTGTTGCATGAAAATGAAATAACTATAAATAATTGATGGGAATTATATTTTTGAATAGATTAAATTTGTCGATATTGATTGGGTTCGTTGGAATGTGTACATTTATTTCAAGTGGAATACACTTATATAATATGGACAAAATCGTGATCTCAAAAAAGTCGGTCATTTTACGCTATACTATTAAAACCCGGAAAGGTACACGACCTGCGATCAGGTCAGGAACCTGTATCGCCATTGTCATTTAGAACTAGCAGATGTCATCGTTTTTGTGTAAACGATAACCGTCTCGAATATTAATTAGACTACGTCTATCCTCCTCTGCACTTTTCATTGCCGTAAAATAATATACGAATAAATCTAATTTTGATTCATTTCACCCATCATTCAGCTCAGCAACTGACTAAATGTTTTGGAAAAAAAAAATTATGATATGAAAGGGGGCTGTAAGAATAAAAATAAACCTTATTCAACATAAAATTTGTTTTATTAATAAATAATTATATACAACAAAATTTATGAAGAGTGCACCATTTTCAGTAGCTATATGTTTTTATTACAACAATAACAAATTGACGAAAGCATCTGAAAATCTTTATTTATGTATTATAATTGTATAATTTATTAATATATCAAGTACAACATTTTAGATTCTGAGCAAAGCTAGGAATATACTGGTTTTAAAATGATGTTATTCTTTTTGTTTTTTTTTTTTTATATAATATATATATAATTACCCACCAGAGAGTTAATTGCACTCTAATCAGAAGGAAATCCCGTTTTTAAATAGCCACACCTCGTATATATACTGTGTAAAAAATGTCTCCCAAAAAATCTTCTTCGATTTATCAAGTACCTTTTCTGAAAGAAAATTTTATCTAGTTGATAGTTTGAAAAGGTCATTTTATAATTATTTTACAAGCGATTTTTATAAGAATTTTTAAAAATCGGGAAAAAACCGTAGGAAAACGTAGGGAAAAACGGACAAATATTTATGGCGGAACGATTTTATGATTTTACATTTTTGTGACCGATTACAAAAATAGTAGTTATTTTTTGTTTTAAATCTTGCTTCAATCAAAAAATTACAAGCTATTGTATTTGTTACATTTTGGATCTAGTTGCCTACGAAGAAAGTCGTTTTTGATTTTTTTTTAGTAATTTTCATAATAATTGGGGGGGGGGGAAGATGAAAAATGAATTCATAAATTTACGGTGCTAGGATTCCTTTATTTTAAATATTTACGGCTTAAGTTATCTACCAAATATATTACTCCAATAGAAAAATAACAAGAGATTTTTTTTTATTGAATTTTTAATCTAGTTGCTCAGTAAGAAAATAATGTTTAAGTTATAATTGAAAAAACCGAAAAACACATAGAAATCCGGAAAATTTACAAAATTAATACTTTTATTTATTTATTTTGAATTTTGGTTTTTTAATGTAATTTAGTTAAAAATTTTCATATAGCCTTGAAATGTTGACAAAAAACTTATTTTTGCTTTTTCTAGACGTTGTGAAATATTCATATTTTAGCCATTTTTGAGTTATTAATAGATTTTTTAATTTTGCAAGTTTTTATTCGGTAGGTACTCGGCTGTGAATAAAATTGTTAAGATTAAATAGAAATGCTTGCAAATTTAACAGTAGGTTCATTATAAGTCATACTTTGTGGTCAAAAAGAAAAAAGAAAAATAAAGTTTAAATAAATAAAGATTTTTTATATAAGAATTTTAATATCAAATTTTGACTAAAATCGTAAATATTACGGCATTTCAAAACATATATAACCGAACTTCGCTCGGTATCGTTTTTAGTTAGAAGTTGTTTCATCGTTACTGACGGATATAAATTAAATAATTTAGAGTATTCTATCTTTTCAACTTTCTACTTACAACAGTGGCACACCTGTCCCTTGTATCAGCATTTTTTTCATATCATTTTCTTTACAAAATAAGTTATCTTTACAGATAAGTGATGACAATTTTACATGTCGGCAGATACCTACTCGTAAAACGTGTTACTTTTTAAAACATTTTTTTTATCGTTTGGTTTTTTATATTTTAATTGTATTTATTAAATAAATCCTGTACAATAATAATATAGGTATATATATAATGAACTATCACGTAATAATTAAATTATTATGGCGTTAGAATAAAAAATTATTAATAATTATCTAATCGTTATGATAATATATCTATTATTTTCCATAGTGTCAAATAATATATTAATTTATTAAAAATTAAAAATAATCTCTTATAAGTAAATTGATAAGTAAACAAAGTGTCATATTGAGGTTTTGATTTTAGTTGTAATATGTATACCAATCTAACTGTAAGAGTACTTACAACTAGGTACTAGGTATAGGTAATGCATGTTATTAAATTGTATACGAAATCTTATAAACAACTGGTACAAATATTATACCTAGCTATCTATTATTATTTTTAAAACAATAATTTTCATGGAATCATGTCAGATTTCCTGAAAAAAAAAAATCGAATAGCGTTACTTCGTTTTTCCATGCGAATATTACCAATGGGGAAACAGTTAACCAGAACCGTTCTCTATACATTCTTTTGTTATATTATTTTATCTTCGCCCAAATTTAAATAGGTAGAACGAGAAAGGTCTGTCACCCGGTTGGTTTCCTTTGGTTGCCTAAATACAAAAAGTACCTATTTAAGTAACACGTAAGCATGTCTATGGCAGTACCTATCAACAATATTTTCGTCTTCCACGTGCCACCTCTTACTTTTATACTATCACCGTATTACAATATTTGATAAACTGGAATTGTGTACAAAATCAACAAGTCTCCAATAGTAAAATATCAGATAGGTACTTCTGGTTACTGTAAAAATCTAGTACCTAGTAGAAATGTCATTATTGATTATGAATAGCTTTTTAAAGTTCTTTGAAGCCAAAAAACCTAACCATTTATTATGCGAATCCCAAAAAAAATCAATAAAAGATTTCCCTAAAATACCACCCCAGTCAAATTTCCCGTCAGAAAAGGTGCTAAACTAGAACATCGAAGCAAAATGTCTGAAAGAAATTATTCACAGAAAAAAAAAACATCATGATAAAATCAATACCTACATTTCTCGTTCCGGTTAAAATGTAAAATTATATCTTTAATTCATAACTACAATATAGCAGGTAATCAATTTATTTGTAAAAAAAATTAAACGGTTTTAGATTCTGAGCGCAGCAAGGAATATATTTGATATTACTATTATTTGTTTTTTCTTCTGTCTGTAAACAACTTGTTTACCAAACATATTGCTACAATCTTCAAGTGTATAAATGTTTTTTTTTTTTTAAAAAGAAAATTTTGTCTTATTGGTGCAATATAGAACTAAAGACGAACAATTTTCCCAATAATGGTTTCGTTTTACATACTCGTATATCAATACAAATTTTCTACCAGAAATCTTGCTTCGATATGTGAAACCTATTGTATGTATAACCTATTATGGAAGTAAATTTTATCTAGATGGTATTTTAAAAGGGGTCAATTTTTGATTTTCCATGCGGTTTTCATAATACCTGGCAAGACCCGGGATAAAACTTAAGAAAAACAGGAAAATTTATAAAAATACCTATTGAGTTTATTATTTTCAATTTTGTTTTAAATTCTGAGTGGAGTGAAGAAACGTATGGTTTTACAAAGATATGTATTTATTTTTTTTCCTGTGAACAACTTTTCTATCAGAGGACTTGCTCCGATTTTTACGTGTATTACTTTTTCTAATAGAAAATCAGTGTGGGAAGGTACTTAAGGGAGTTCATTTTTCGATTTTTTCATGAGTTTTCTCAACAAATGTCAAAAACCGAAAAAAACGGGAAAATTTAGGAAATATATTAGTAAAATAATTCGATTTTTTTTCTGTGGACAAATTGTCTGCAAGCAATTTCGCTACAACTTTTAATGATAACAATTTTTCTAAAAGAAAATTTTACTGGGGAGGTATCTTAAAGAGGTCTTTTATCAATTTCTTCCGGAGTTTTTTCAGGAAATGTGAAAAACTGAGAAAAAACGTAGAAAAACCAAGAAAAACACGTTGGAAAACCGGAAAAATCGGTACAAAATTAAACAATTATTGTTAAAGGAAATATATAGAGCCTACTTAATTATTTTACTATAATATACGGCATATATATTGTTGTCAAAGCATCACCATCAACTAAACTCCGCTCAGAATCGTTTTTCGTAAGCAATGATTTATCGTTGCTTAAGGTATACATTAAATTACCTATAACAGTGGCTACACTTGTTCCTATTATCCTAGGACGTATTTTCTGTTTTAATTCAATAAAAAATATTCACAGTGACTTGAAATTTGGACAGAAAACTTATATTTGGTTTTTTTAGACGTGGTAAAATTTTCAAAACATTCTAGCCATTTTGAGCTATTTATAGTTTTTTCGTAATTTTTATTCGATAGGTACTCTGTGAATAAAATTGTTAGACCATAAAGAAATGCTTAAAAATTTAACCGGCAGTTCGTTCAATGTCGTACTTTGTGGCCAAAACAAAAAAAAAATTGAGTTCAATGTAGTTTTTTTTTTTATAGGAATTTTTGAACCAAATTTTATCGAAAATCATTTTAGTAAAAAATTATGTGGAACAAATCTAGTTACTGGTATATGCAAATTTTTCTATTTGTTTTGAACATAATTTAAGAACTATTAGTTTCGAAATTATAGCTTTTTGAAGTTCTGATATTATATTATTTATTATGTTTAGGAATTCATCAATATTGTTAACTTTATAGTATATCTGTCATAGTCAATTGGTGGTGCCTACCTGTTTTTATCCCAGAGATCGCAAGTTCAAACCCGAATTCCGAAAAAAAATTCTTCAAAACCATGTCGGGTAGGTTAATGTGCAGATTATGGAATAAAACCACAAAGGGCAATTTCAGTTCAAATACTAAATACTATGTCAGATAATCAACGATGTATAAATAAATTATACTTATTATAACTAAACACAATCACACGTTCATTATTTTAGCTACCCAATATGTGTTACTTCGTCGGAAAAAAAAAGAATTATTTATAAATAATGATAACATTGTAATATTACAGTATTTTTGTTTGATTAAATTGTTTTAATATTATAAATTTAATTTGTGGCCAGTGTACTTAATGATAATGATATTTTTACTGCTGAATACCTACATATATAATTATAGTATCATATTATTTTACAAATATATTATAATGTATTTTCTATTTATGTATTAAACATAAATATTTAATACGTACATGTCCCGTGTAAAATGTGGTTTTAACTGAATGCCCATAAATATTTGTTTTATAATCTAGTGTTATGTTAATATAAGTCCTAATAATAGATACCTACAAAAAAGATTTAATTGTATAGTGATTAATAATACTAAGCTACTTTTTTATTTAAAGTTTGTTATTTAATAAGTACGTATACATCTATAGTTAGAAGTAGGTTGTGAACAATATTCAAAATGTCGAAACAATAAATTTCACAATAATAATGCTATTAGAATACGAGTTTTAGTATTATTTATTTAAAACGCTGGTGCTTGACCAATTGATTTTTTTTCCTACGGCACGATTCTTTTGTTTTATCAATAGTTCTGAATTTTTATTGATATACAAATATCTATAATACTCTTAACACGTTTCCTGTTTACTATTTAGATTTCAGGCATATCGAACTCAAAAACGTATTTTAATTATTCATAATGAACAAAGACAATAGATTACCTACTTGACAATATTTGTTTTGATATCATATAATAATGTTAAAGAATTTAATGCACCAATTAGATAAAATTTCCTTTCAAAAAAGGTACTACCTATGTTACACCGGAGTAAGATTTTCTGGTAGTTATTTTGTACAGAGTATATAAAAAAAATAAATAAATAAACTTAGTAAAACTCTACACATTCCTCGCTTCGTTCAAATATACTTCGCATTTAGGATGATCATTATATTTTCAATGATTTAACTTGGTACCTGTATTAGTAAATAGTGTATTACTAATTTATATTCGTTACACAAAACACAATATTATTATGCGTGTAATTTAATAATAATATCTAACCATCAAACACTGATTATTTCGAAAAAAAAAAACACGTTTCAGTAATTTGTGCAATTGTTTTAATTTCAACATAATTTATTATAGAAATAGAAGTATGTATAAGTATATAATATACTCTAATGGCTTATTGTTTTTCTTTATACGCATTGCATTTCCATAAATAACAAGAAACTTAATGTAAGAAACAAAACAAAATAAATAGGTATTGTTGGAATATTGTGATAATATTTATTTATTTCGTGTGACCGTTAGATTGGTTCTACAATTTATTTAAAACTTTTTGGACGAATAGTCAACTTGAAGACTTTAAGAGGCTTATTTCTTTTTTTTTTAGGTAGGTTAACAAAATAGTATTATTCCATAGGTAGTCAATCAGAGTCCTTGATTTTTTCGATTTAAATATTTCATTATAGCAGATTTAATACAAAGTAAAATTTGTTTTCAATAATATATTATTCAGTTATATACACCGTAGATGATACAAGAGTCATCTCTCTGACAGTTATTAGCTTGTTACGTCCCAAGTTTAGACTACAGTAGATACCTAGTAATAACTAATAATGTACAAATTTATAATTGATAATTCATATTTTTAGAATAGTTTTGTATGTTTTAATCTACGACTCAATTAAATAATAGAAAAAAAAATCACAATAAACAAAATAGCTAATTTGTAATAAACCTACTTTACTTTAAATATAATCTTAAACATTGAAAACTATGGGCAAATTGCCAAGAAATCCCAATTAAGAAATATGTATAACAATAATGCGAGTATTATTACTTGTGTTCTTACGAAATTTACTGAAATTACATAAATAAAAATAATTTTGTTTGGTATAAAATAGTAACTGTGTGGTTATGCAGGGCATAACCATAACTGATCTATTAATTACACATTATTGATATGAAAAAAATTAGTAAGCTTAAACATTTTTTTTCCTTTCAATAGACTTGAATAAGTTAAAAAAACAATTATTCTAGGCATAAATTATAATTTATAGTTTACAAATAGAGTAAAAATATTTCAAACAACTAAGGGTTAGGTTAGGTTAGACTATAACTTTATTAACGTACTATAAAATAATAAAAAAAAAAAAACAACAATAGATAATAAACTAACCTAACTATTATGACAAAACCATGTGAAAGAATGAAAGATTATATAAACTATTATCATAGCTAAAAAATAAAAATACTAGGTGTCTTATTAATTATTATAATTTGATATTACTATCATAATTATTTTTTTATTTATTTATTTAAATATAATATATATATATATTTTTTTTTAAGATTTTATAATCATATAATATATTATATTTATAGTTTTAATTCAATACCTATCAAACATTGCTAAGTAATGGCTAATAAATAATATAAAATATGCTAGATTTATGGCTATAAGAATTTACGAAATTGCAATAGCTAGATGGGTAAAAGAATATACTAGTTCTAGCCATAAAATGGCTAAATTGGCAAATACATCACATAAGCATATTAGTATTATAGTTAGAGTATATAGAAATATGCCGATTTAAATGAATTTATACATAGATTTATTTATTTACTTAATTACTTTAATTTATGATTAGTTATAAAAAAAAAATAGCCTCCCAATGTATCATTGAGTATGATCAATTATTGTATAATAAATTAGTGTCAAAAATAAGCGTTTTAGCGCTTGTAGTGGACTATTTTTCCATTAAAATTATAGCAGGTAAATATTATAATAAACAATTAGTAAGCCATAATTAATAATCAAACATTTGAATTAATTCTATTTATTATTTAATAAATTATGCGTTAACTAATTTAGAGATTTTTTTGTTTTGATGTTTTGATTCTCCATACAAGTGTATTGTCTCATACTCATAATACAATAATTACAACAAATATCTGTCAAAATTGTCAAATGATATTCTTTACGTGAAAAGTGATTAATATATTTTCTGTAATTTTTTTTAAAGTAACACCTAAAACATAATTTAACCTATCCTAATTATACAACATACATAATATTATAATCATAGATAATAAAGATATGAATAGGTTATCCATACCTTATCAGTGTTCCAAGAAAGACGGGTATAGTTATTCCAAGATGATTCATACATTGAGGCGGTTTATTTATTTGGTGATACCTAATTGAAAAATCGTTCAAAATCCGTTCAACCGGGAACATCGTCTCTGGCCTTACCTACAGTTATTATAGTAATAGCCTATTCAATTCACTATACTATTATTATTACCTACAACCCAATCTATTCATATTTATGGGGTTTCATAATTTTGTCCGTTGTAAAACCGCGTTTCGTAACGAAGTCGACCGCTATAATAACATGCAACACCACGTTATTAATAAAACAGCTAAGTGTAACATGCGAAATGTTCGAATTTGAAAAAATTCTAATGAAAGGCCACTGCAAGTACTAGTAGTTAATACCATTGGTTTCAGAATATACTAAAATATTATAATATTCTGAAATCAATGCTGGTATATAAAAGTAAGTCCTAATAATACACAATAATATTTTAAGTCACCAATGGCGTGCGCAGGAATTTGCAATGGGAGGGGATGGGATTTAGTAAGTAAATATCATGATTCGTGAATAAATTTAGTGCATTTTAATATTCTATCATAATAATTTGTTTTTGTAACATTATTTTAGTTTGTATTTTATGTATAGTTTAATTTGGGTAATCTCTGTTATTATTATCCTAGTTTTCTGTGTCCATATGATTTTAATTTTGAAAAAAATTTAGATTCTGAGTGAAGCGAAGAAACTTATGGTTTTACAAACATATTTATTTTTTTTCATCTGTGCGCAACTTTTCTACCTGAAATCTTGCTCCAATTTACAATGATAGCACCTTTTCAGAAATTAAATAGGACTGGGGAGGTACTTCAGGGAGATCATTTTTTGATTTTCTTAAGAGTTTTCTCATCAAACGTCCAAATTTGAAGTATCTTTTTAACTGAATTAAAACAAAAAAAAAAATAAAGTTGAAAATAATAAAATCATTATTTTCGTAAATTTTCGTTAGGTTTAATTTTCCCAGAAGTTTTTTCAATAAATGGGAAAAAACGTAGGAAAAACAGGAAAAATAGGTACATTAATAAATAAATATTATTAAAGAAAATATATAATGCATATATGTAATTATTTTACCATAACATGACATATATATTGTTGACAAAAGCAACACAATCAACCGAACTCCACTCAGAATCGTTTTTTCGTTAGCAATGGTTAATCGTTGCGTACAGATATACAGTATATTTCTGTCTATATCCTACTTTCCCAACTTCCCACCTACAACGGTGTTCCACCCATCTCTATTATCTTAGGACAGGCTTTTTGAAATTGGGATGCCCTGCCAGTCTATAAAGACGCTGTCGCGTAGTCATCGACCTTGAAAATAGTGGTGTGTGCATTATTTTAATCTAATCAAATTACGACGTAATAATATACGCCGACGATCGCCCACCCCGCGCATTACCGCCGCCGCAAAGTCCCCCTCGGTGCACGAGTACCCGTCCGTCTTGCGCGTAGCATTTATTATTATTGTTGTTCGGTCGGTTGTGTTTGTAAATAAAAAACAGCTGTAACGCGTGGGCTGAGAGGGGCAGCCGCTGTGGCGTGTGACCCACTCGCCATCACCTCTGCCGCCGTCGTATTGCGTTTTCGTTAGAAAAATATTAAGATACATTGATAGGAATTATTACGTTTTAGAACGTGTTCGAAAATATTTTCGTCATCTTTTATTGCACAGTAGATACTTTAATGTGGTTGTAAACAGTGAACATTATAAATTATAATATTATTAATATAATATGGTCGTAAAACAACTCAAATCGCTGTGGTGGCAGTGGACGGCGTAAAACCTATCAAAATTATCTGGATTGTAATAGTAGTTTCCCCACAATCCTCATATACCCCTCGAGGCCCAAGATTAAATCTGACCCTTGCACAACTAATTAATCTTATCAATCGCGAGTTTTTATAAATTATTATACATTTATTTTATTTGTATTTTTATTTATTCTTTCAAAAAGAAAAAATAATATGCGATGAATCATAAATGTTATTGTTAGAAGAATGGGTTGAAGTCTGGCTCTCAAGGAAGAGACCATGTGATCTATTTGTTATACTATGATATATTTTTATTTGATTTTATTTTTTCGTACCCAACTATTTAAGAGCCAGACTTCAACCAAAAAATGTTACAGTCCACCTGTAGTTTGTACGGGGAAAAACCGGCGTTTTAAGATTTTTAATTTGAACATTTTAAAAAATAAATCAAACCTTTAACACTTTCAGTCACTTCGAAATTTACGGCTCGCGAATCCTGCTATTCCTGTTGACGTCTTGATACGCCGGCGAGTATCGTTACACATTAACACAAAATACACGAGAACGATAGGCAAAATAACGATAAATAATCGAAAAAAATCTAACACAACCGTTAGTTTACTATTTCCGTTTATTTGTTTATACTACCTATACTTTTTCACAACCCTCGTTTACCGAGATATAGAAGCGCGCACCACTAAGTCACACTGTTTAGTGTTTAAAACTTACAAGTAGGAATCAGAGGACCACGATCGGCTACGGAACACTGCTCTTTTGTTCTACACGCGATCCCTACCTCGCGTCGCACGTTGTATTAAGCACGTTTCAAATCCAAACCACTGGTAGCGCTACCATCGGCTTGCCTCGTGCTCGCTAAATGCAAGATGATCGTGCGTCCGTCCGTGGCCCCCAACAATATTTTAATATTTGTTTTGTTCAGCTGCTTACTGCGTAATAAAACAAAAACTTTGTAGGTAACAACTGACTAATATTATAGTACTATAATACTGTATTCCTGTATTCTTTTTTCGATTAAATAATATCTATGAGCGAAAATATATCAATCGCGCCAGAAATCGTAGGTAAAAAAAGAAAAATCATGAGAAAAAAAGGTATACATCAATATTATAGCTCCAATCGGTATTCAAATTTCGAATGTAACACCATTGATTATAAATATTCAATGGTAATACATATTTGTGTGTTATTTGCGCTGATAGATTTATGAATATTAAAAAATGCGAACTATTATATTTTGTTATTATCTCGTTGATACATATATTGGTGAACATACAATTTTTTTCATGTATCTTTGGGTATTGTGTAATATATCAGGTGAAAGAAATACAAATTTCTGTGCGTCGTTTTTCTCAGCATTTGGGGAATATTTTTATTTGTCTCATCTTTATAAATTTTTGTATTTTATGAAGTTTTGAAATGATTCAATTTCAGGCACACATGAGAATGAATACCGTCAAAAAATAAAAAATATTAAAGTAAAAGATAGAAAAAAAATATAATAACGTAAATAAAAAAGACTGACATATTTAGCACGATGGGTGGACCATTGTTGTGGGTTAGAAGTTAAGAAGGTAGAATATAAAGGGAACTAGAATGTACATCTGTACGCAACGATTAATCATAGCTAATGAAAAACAATTTTGAGTGATTTTGAGTTCAGTTGAAAATGTTTTAAAAGATCGTAATATTTACGATTTTCGTCAAAATTTGTATAAAGAAAAAAAATACTACATTAAACTCAACTGTTTACTGATGAACACTATTTATAAATTATAATGAACCTCCTATTCAATTTTCAAATATTTTATCCACGAGTACCTACCGAATAAAAATTACGTAAAAACTACCAAAATCAAAATGTCTATAAATATAACTCAAAAATAGATCAAATGTTTTGAAAATTTTACTACTTCTAGAAATGGCAAATATAAAATTTCATCTAAATTTCAAATCTTTGTAATTTTTAACTGGATTATTACAAAAAATAAATTTTTAATATTTTTGATTTTAAAATATACGTGAATTATAAAAAAAAAAACAAAATATTCCGTTTACCATGTCTAACCCAAGGGCCAAAAAGCAGCTGTACACTCAAAAGATTTCTATAATGAATTCAAAAATGAATCATTAAAAGTTTTCAGATTTTGGAAACAATTTACGAGTGGTCAACTTGATAGCAACTTAAAAAAATTCGAAAAATTAAAAATGTATAATCTGATTACTTTTTTTAAATTTAAGTAGTCTAAAAAAAAATGTGATAGTCGAAATTATTGGGGAGTAATTATCACAATACAACCTATAGTAAAAAAAGTAAAGGTACCGTATGCTTTGTAGAAAGACATTCAAAAACACTTGCCCGCTCCGTATAACATTACTGAATTAATAATTTTACCAATGATATGTCATATTTTTAAGAAATATTTATAATAATAATTATTACTTTTATTTTAAGATATTATATTTGTAAAATAATAATAAAATAAAAACCTAAGGGCTTAAGTTATACATTTTATGAAAAAATCACTATAATAAATAAATTACCGGCTACATTATTACTAAGATTACCGAGATTAGATTGATTAGATTATTCAATTTTTAACTTAAATCGGTTAGAAAAAACGTATCTACATAACACGAACCCTGCATGTAAATAGGGTTTACGTTGCTCTACTTTAAAACAAAAGAAATAATTAAATTTTTTTTTTCAAAAATACAATTTATTATATTGAAGCAATTAGAAAATTAATTATATAAGAAAGTTAATAAATTATATATTAATTTATAAACAATGTGTTTATACTGCAATCAGACGTGCAGTGCAGTCAATGCAAACTTTCTGAAATAAGGAGAAAATATATACATACCTATGTTAACAGTCTTACAAGGACGCTATACCCGCATGTGCTTTCTCTGTCATACAATTGCATGATGACAGCAAATTTTTGTCTAGCAAAGAAAACTCTATGCTATTAGTTTTAATATTTAGGAGAATTGATATATTATCAAACTTAAAGAGAAGAATACTACATGTGTCGTTTCGTCATGCTTTTTTTTGTAATTTAAAATTTTAAGCAGCATAAGAGTGTGTAAATTATCACGGCTTAAAAATGGTTAAATCTAACTTGAAAATTAAAACAATGAAAAAAAAACAAAGACAAGGCACAGATATTATTCTAATTTTTAAGTTTTATAATACACCAAATTCACTGGAATATTAAAACTAACAGCAAAGAGTTGTCTTTGCTGGAGAAAAATTTGGTATGTCTAGCAGTTGTATAATGGAAACAACACATCCGGGTATCGGGGTATATGACAATATGGCATCCTCTTACATAATCTATAGATGATATGAAAACTCGAGTAAAATATAAAATAATTACTCTATATTGAGATTAATTTCAATTTTTGTAATTTGTTTTTGAGAACACTCAAGCAATTTTAATTCTTCCTTGTCACGATAACTTTCAATTTCTGAAACTTTGTAGAGTATAAACATTTTTTTTTTTATTTCGATTAATTTTTGATGAAAACATTTTTACTTAATTATTATAACTTCGGGTAATTGGTCGCACATACGTATACTCGTATTTGTGTCAAAATAATTGATACATTGATCAACTAAACACTAATAGTCGACTTTCTCTAACTAAAAAAAAAAGTGTAACGGTTATAAATTTGGGACGTAGGAGAACTCTTTTGCCATTTTTCAAACCCACATTCATCCGTAAATATTTCCCACGCGATTTTTTTCTCGAATGTATCGTATAGATACATAATTGTATAATATATAACAGGTTTAAATACATAAACGTTACAATAATAATTAAAATAATAACAAAACTAATTTGTATTAAAATGATTTGATTTATTATTATACTTATTAACATGTTTCTAAATAAACCAAAAAACTGTTTTTATTGGCCCAATCTCTAAAATGTAAATTTTAAATTTTAACTATCGTCCGTCTAAAGAAGTCATTCAAAAATAAAATTAAATAAAATGAATATATATATTTGTTTTTAAGTTCTTTTAAACAAAAAAATAAAGTTACTAACTTAAAATTAAAATTATGCCATATTTAGCTGAAAAAAGGTCTAAAGAAAATTATAAAATTATAAATATCTTATCAATATGTATATATTAAAGAACAAACTGACTGACTGAGATATCAATGCACAGCCCAAACAACTGAGTCTGGAAATTAGAAATGTATTCTTTATACAACGTAGACGACTACTAAGTAAGGCTTTTGTTTTTAAAAAAAGTCTAAGAGGTTAAAATGAGTTAAAACATTTAATACGATGAGTAAATCTATATATTATTTATATTATCATAGGCGTGCGCAGACCTTATTAGCAGGGAGTAGAATATATATTATATGTAATATAATGGAATATTATTATAGTTATTTCTTATTATTTATTAGTAGGGTTCAGATTCGAAGGCATAGATAAAAAAAACCATTTAAAATGTGTAAAAAGGCGGAAAAATCTATTTCATTTTTATAAAAAGCAATTACAAAATTTATTTAAAAATTAAATAGATTTCAGTTGATTTAACTAGTTTGTATTTAAAAAATTCACTACCATGTACTTAAATAAATTGTTTTCCGTAAAACGTTGACGGTTTGGGCTCAAAATATTTATGTACATAGAAAATGATCGTTCCACGTCCACTAAAATTGTTGGGGCGTATTTCATACATAAATAATTATCTAAATTAAAATTACTATTTATTAAATCGTCATCGCTATCAGTTTATAATCATCAAAATGATAATAAAAATTACTTTTATGGTTGTTTTCCCTTATTACTTATCTGATATAGTTTTGCATAACAAATGAAGGTTTATTTTCAACTATAAATCTGTCATTCGCTCGCTTGTTTATAGGTAAGGAATTGTTTTTTGCTGATCATCCCTCATATAAATGTTATATTTGTGCCACAATAGTGAAATTATTTAGATAGTAAGTCCACCTAAATAAAATAATATTATATAATTTATTTTACTATTAAGGGAAGTTATTGTACTTCTTTATACTCTTTATATACTTGTACACTCTTTATATGCATTTAATAGAATTCCAATTGATGAACTGATATTAGAAGTGCAGCACTATAGAGCAAAGGCATACGAGTCATCTATTTTTATAACTTTAAAATAATTGTGTGCATGCACTAAGATAGAATACCTATCACATTCTGGAATGTCATTCTCCACGTTTGACTTGTTAGTTGAATAATTGAAATATTAAACAAATAATAATACAACTCTGAGTTGTAGTACAACTCAAGTACGAGTACCTATATTCTAAATATTTTTCTGAAATAATAATGTGTATTTTTAATTTTTAAATTAACTCACTTTGATTGATTGATTATGAGATATAGATACCTATCTAATATTATATAAAAGCAAACATATATTTAAGAAGTATTTCATTTTCGACGAAAGCCTCTATAGTGTTTAATTAACATTACAAAAAACAATAATATTTTATTTTATATGATTATATAAAACTAAATTTCTCATAAGAGTGTTTGAATCATTTGATAAATTATATTTTGTTTTTTGCAATTCAAACTTTTTTTTTCTTTATAAAGTGTTGATATAAAAAGATATTTTAAAAAAATTGTTTGATTTTTTAGGTTTTATAAATTTGTCTTCAGTTAACATTTTAAAAGCATAACTCAATTAAGTTAAAAATTGAGTTAAAAATAAATAAAAACATGAAAGTTTAAAATTCAATTTTCTAAATAGTTGTATTATC